ACTGAACCAAACCGGCTAGGGCTAATTTTTTTCTTTTTAATGAAGAGGCCACAGGCTCAAGCTCAGAACCTTTGGCAGGCAATAGTATCTAGCAAAGTTTTAAATAGTGTGAATTGTTCTTATAACTTTTAGTTTGAAGATTATCTTCTTTTTATGGGATTTGATACTGATTTTTTTCATTTAAGTATAATAAATATTCTTTTAAAAATAAATTTTAATGAAATAAAATTTTTAAAGGGAATAGGTTTTTAAAGGAAAATGTCAAACATTAACAATAGAGCTGTTGTGTACAATGTGCAGGTTATTTATTGCAAAGGTGCCCTGCTCGGGAGAGAGGCACTATGGGAAATGGGCTGATATGTAGCCTATTAGCTGTTTATCAAGCCATGTGCCCTGGTACCCCTTTTTAATTCTCACAAAGGGACCATGTGGGCTAGCAGTAAGTGGTGGTACATTGGTATGCAGTATGGCAAAAGTGATGAGGGAGGAATGTAAATGGAAATCCTGTAAGAAAGATATTTGTATTCTCCATTGCACAGAGTGAGATGGAGACTCGAGAGGTACATGACATGGCTAGAACTCTAACTCCTTTTCTGTGCCCATTTTTCATATTCCTCTCTGAGAGCTCAGTAAAAACCGCAAACCAGGGGCAATGGAGATCCCATTCATAAAAGGAACAAATTTATACAGAATATATAAATAACATCTAATAAAAGTTATATATGATACTTTTATAATATTTTTATAGATTTCAGAGAGGAAGGGGAAGGGAGAGAGAGAGAAAAACATCAATGATGAGAGGGAATCATTGATCAGCTGCCTCCTGCATGCCCCCTACTGAGGATCAAGTATGTCATCTGCGCGTGTGCCCTGACCGGGAATCTAACTCTGACCTCTTGGTTCATAAGTCGATGCTCAACCACCGAGCCACACCAGCTGGGCTATATATGGTCTTTACAGATAAAAGTTAATTGTACGACATAGAAGAAGATGTACATGGAAAGACATACCATACCATGTTCATGGATAATAAGATTACTATAAAGATGTTGACTCTCTTGTCTGCAAATTCAGTAGTTTCAATAAAAATCCAAACAGGATTTTTCATAGAATTGATAAGCTGATTCTAATTCGTGTGACATTGCAAAGAATTGGGAATAACCAGACAATTTTGGAGAACAAAAAGAGAGGCCTTTCTCTATGAGATATCAAGGCAGATTGTGAAGCTGTATTCATAACATAATGTGGCCCTGCTCTGTCCAATATAATAGCCACTAGCCACATGTTGCTATTAAGCACATGTGACTAGTATGAACTGAGAAGTGCTATAAACGTAAAATACACACAAGATTTTGAAGACTTAGTAGGAGTAAAAAAATACTGTAAAATATGTCTTTAAGTATAAAATATTGATCACATGTTGAAAATGTAATATTTTGAACATATTAGGATAAATAAAATATATTATTAAAATTAATTTCCCCCTTTTCCTTTATGTGGCTACTAGAAAATTTTAAATTACATTTGTAACTATGCATAATATGTATGTTATTATATTTCCTACATATATCTGTTGGACAGCATTGGTCTGGATCATTGAAACAGAGTAGAGCCTAGAAACAGACTAAACATGTATGGGAACTTGGAGTATGGCAAAGTAGCATTATCAGCCATGTGAAAAGGATAGACTATTTAAAAAACAATGATGGGGCCCTGGCCGGTGTGGCTCAGTTGGTTAGGCATTGTCCTGTGCACTGAAAGGTAGCCCAGACTGCACACTTGATCCCTCGTAGGGAGCGTGCAGGAGGCAGCCGATCACTGTTACTCCTCACATCGATGTTTCTCTGTCTTTTCCTCTCTATTTAAAAATAAAAAAATAAAGTAAAAACATTTTTAAAAAAACAACCCAGTTGGCTTATTGTTATGTCATTTGTCCACAAACACACACACACACACACACACACACACACACACACACATACACACACACACATATTTATATGTTGAAGCCCTATCCTTAATATGATGGTATTTGGAGGTGGGACATTGGAGTCTAATTAGTGTTAAGTAAGGATATAAGAGTAAGGCCTTCATGATGAAATTAATGCCCTTATAAAAAGAGAAAGAGACAGGAGTACTCTCTCCATCATGTGAGAATGCATTGAGAAGGTCTACAATCCAGGAAGTGGGCCCTCATCAAGAACCAAATCTGTTGGCACTTTGATCTTGGACTTCCTAGCCTCCAAAGCTGTGAGAAATAAATTTTTGTTGTTTAAGCCACTTAGTCTACGATATTCTGTCATAGCATCCCAAACAGACTAACAATTTGCCATATGGGAAAAGAGGTCTGATTTATAACATATAAACATAAAGACCACCTAAAAATGAAAATATTTTTAAGATTCTTAGAAATTATTGAGACTATTTTTATGGCCTGGGTGTTGGAAAGGATGTGGTTTCAGTGATAGCCTTTGCTGCTAACAGATCAACCCAAAACTTAGTAGGTTAAAACTGCCACAGTTTATTACTTCCTACTGTTCTGTGGGGTGGCAGGTGGCTCTTCGGCTGGTGGGATGGCTGTGTTCTCTGGACCACCTGGGCTTCTGTCTTCTTTGATGGTCTTTCATCCCATGGGCTTCTTCATAGCATGGTAGACTCAGGGCACCAAGAGAATGCGAGTGGACTCTGCAAGGCCTGTTGAGGTCAACACTCAGAAATCACAGAGTATCAATTCTGTCGGTTGGTTAAAGCAGTTTATGGGCTGAGTCAGATTCAAGGGGTGAGGAAGTAGATACTACTTTTTTTTTTTTTTAAAGAGGCTGTATCATGTTTTGTTTTTCTTTAAATATATTTTATTGATTTTTTACAGAGAAGAAGGGAGAGAGATAGAGATAGAGAGTTAGAAACATCCATGAGAGAGAAGCATCAATCAGCTGCCTCCTGCATACCTCCTACTGGGGATGTGCCTACAACCAAGGTAGGTGCCCTTTACCGGAATCGAACCTGGGACCCTTGAGTCCGCAGGCTGATGCTCTATCCACTGAGCCAAACCGGTTACAGCAAGATAACCACTTTCTGATAGGGGGAATGTTTAAGTCACTTTGCAAAGAGACATGCCAGATTATAGGATTCCCTAAAATCCAAAAAGCTCTGGCTGTTAAGGCAAAGATTGACAAGTTCAACTACATTAAAATCAAATACTTCGGTGGTGCTCTCCCTCCAGGGAGAAGCCAGTGCCTTTCCCTTCCCCCCTTCCCCGCCCCACCACCTCCCCAGGCACTTTACCCACTCCCAAGCTCCAAGGGCCCTTCCTTTATCTCAATGACTCGTTTCCTAAACCCATTTCTTCTACAAACGACTTCTTCTACCTCTGTAATTTACCAAATAAATGTTCTCTTACAGTTTGGGTCTTGCTCTGAATTCTTTCCTAGCCAGAACCCAAGTACTGAGGTTGCTGAACCCAGGTTTGGTCTGACCCACCAGTCAGACACCTGGTGCCCTTCCCACTGCCAATTAAAAAAAAAAAAGAAAAAAGAAATCAAACACCTTGACGCCTTTGGCTCAGTAGATAGAGCGTTGGCCCACACACTAAAGGGTCCCAGGTTCGACTCTAGTCAAGTGCATGTACCTTGATTCCCAGCCCTGGTCAGGGCACATGCGAGAGGCAACCAATTGATGTGTCTCTCTCCCTTCCACTCTTTCTAAAAATCAATGAAAAAATATCCTTGGGTGAGATTAACAACAAAAACTTTTTTTATTAAAAAAAAAATCAAACACTTTGATTTCTGAAAACACCCATTTGAAAAAATGAAAAGACAAGTTGCAGATTAAGAGAGGACATTTACAGCATTTTTTAGTAGTATCCAGATATATAAAGAACTATAAATCCTGAGAACAAGGCCAACAACCCATTAGAAAAATGGGCAAAAGGCATGATAAGATAATTTATAGAACAAAAGAAAATGATGTTCAACTTCATTAGCGAAATTAAAATATAAAAACAGTGAAATACTATTTTATACTCAAACACTAGCAGAAACAGGTTATCTGATGATACTAAGAAGTGTTGGCTAGGATGTGATGTATGGAAGGAGGGTGCTTGTACACTTTTCAGAGAAGTAGAAAGCAGCTTTGCCAGCATCTGGTGCTGGTGCAGGTGGATCCGCCCTGTAGCGCCTCCTTGGAACATTCCTAGATGTGTACTCTGGTACAGTATTCATTCCAGCATTGTTTGTAATAATAGATATGTAGAAACAACTTAAATATAGGATATTAGATAAATTGTGTCATGTTTATTGAAAAATACTATACAGAAATCTGAATGAATCATCTGTGTGGATCAGCATGGATAGAACTTGCAAATGTAATGTGATTAAAAAGGATATGTTCCGGAATACTTATACTGTGATGCCATTTATGTAAATTTTGAGCCACATAAAATAATATTCTAGTTTATTTATGAATGCATAAGTGTTAAAGGAATAATAATGTAAACAAGAATGATATACAACTCCAGGATCATGGTTGCTTCTGAGAGGGGAGGAGAGAATGGGCTCAGGACAGGCCCAGCAGGGGCTCCAGTCTGTTCTGGTATACTCTTTCTTAAAAGAAAGTCTGAGGCAAATATGGCAAAGTGAGAAGAACTGGTAATTCTGGGTGGTAGTTTTTTTACTTTTCTGTATGCTTAAAATATTTCATTAAAAATACACGCATATCTCTAAAGTGTCAATATTTTAGTCATGTAGGATGTTCTAAAAAGAGCCATTTTCCCATTTGCAATGACTTGGAGTTTAATTTGAAACACTTTGATTGAAATTAACCAGTGAAAAAAGTCATCCTAGAATTGATGGGTTATCTTTGACATTTCCTGCTGGAGTGTTAGGTGTGTAGAGTAGAGTACTAGAGTCAGGGATCAGTTTTAGGAATTGCCAGATCCAGACTTGCATGTGTTTTATGAATCCGACGGTGGTCATTCACTGCCTTTTCCTCCCTTGTCCCAGGAGTCTTGCTTTGCCCCATCTGAAGTCCATATGGCTCTTTATGATGAAGATCTCCTGAAAAATCCTTTCTACCTGGCCCTTCAAAAGTGGCGTCCTGACTTGTGCAACAAGGTGGCCCAACTTCATGGCATTGTAAGTGCATCAACCCTGAGGGTTGTACTTTCCCATTAGCTGTGGACCAAGCAGTGCTGGCGAGGCCAGAAATATAGTAGACTTTGGTTAAGTTTAGAGGGAATCACTACAAACCTACCCAGACCGTGCTCAGTATGGAACAAGTACCAACCCAGGGTGTAATGTTTTCTCTGCACTCTCAGCCCATGGGACACAGGTCTCCTGGTGTTCACCTGTTTCTTTTGTTTCCATGTTGACCATGAGAGCTATCGAGGATAGAAATGACATTCCTTCTCAGGGCCTCATGAGGCCTGGTGTGAGGTGAGCACTCACTCCCATAGAATAAGAGAACGTGTGAACACATTCCCATGTCACTTTCAAGGCGTTTCCTACAGGGAAGGAACTGTGGTGAAAGAATGTTTATAATAGGGCCACAACCTCAAACGCCTTCACGGGCAGCCGGGTAACAGGAATGAGGGAAGTGTGTAAGAGAGACTGTAGCCTGTCTGTGGGGCCCTGTTGCCTGGTGAGAAGGCAGGCCTCACGCTGTAGGTCTGTCCAGTTCTGAGGTTGTCTTACACAACACAGTGGGACACAGTGTGTGGGCGCCTCCGTGCCGTCCTGTGCTTGAGGAGTCTTTCTGTGTGTTGTCCTCTTCTCATACTGTGTTCCCACTTTTCTTGCCACGGGGTGTGATTTTACTCAGGCATGTCAGGAGGCTGTGGATTTGAACCAATGGAGAAGTCACTTTAGCCCAATGATGTCAGGTTCTCAGCTGCCCTCTGGAAAATTGGAACTGACTTCCACACCACCCAGTTCATCCCTGTGCCATCAGAAGCCTGATTTCTTGAACTCCCTTCCGATTTTTATGATTGGTTTTGGGATTGATACATTTTATCCAGTTTTTTTTAATTTTTATTTTGTGTGTGTGTGTGTGTGTGTGTGTGTGTGTGTGTGTGTGTATATATATCTTTTTTTTTTTTTTTTTTCAGAGAGGAAAGGAGAAGGTGAGAAAGATAGAAACATCAACGATGAGAATGGCTGCCTCCAGCACGCCCCACACTGGGGATTGAGCCTGCAACCCAGGCATGTGCCCTTGGCTGGAATCGAACCTGGGACCCTTCAGTCCTCAGGCCAATGCTCTTTCCACTGAGCCAAACTGGCTAGGGCTTATTTTTATTTTTATTTATTTTTATATATATATATTTTATTGATTTTTACAGAGAGGAAGGGAGAGGGATAGAGAGTTAGAAACATCAATGAGAGAGAAACATCTATCAGCTGCCTCCTACACACCCCCTACTGGGGATGTGCCCACAACCAAGGTACATGCCCTTGACTGGAATCGAACCTGGGACCCCTCAGTCCAAAGGCTGATGCTCTATCCCCTGAGCAAAACCAGTTATGGCTATTTTTATTTTTTAATATATCTTTAATAATTTCAGAGAAGAAGGGAGAGGGAGAGAGAGAGAGAAACATCAATGATGAAAGACAATCATTGATCAACTGCTTCCTGCACACCCTCTACTGGGGATTAAGCCCACAACCCGGGCATGTGCCCTTGACTGAAATCAAACCTAGGACCCTTCAATCCACAGGCCGACATTCTATCCACTAAACCAAACCAGCTAGGGCTTATTCTGGATTTTACAAGTCATAAAGTTCATTATAAAAACAGTTAGAGAGCCCAGCCAGTATGGCTCAATGGTTGAGCATCCACCCAAGAACCAGGAAATCACTGGTTCGATTCCTGGTCAGGGCATATGCCTGGATTTCGAGCTCAATCCCCAGTGAGGGTTGTTGGGGGAGCTGCAGGAGGCAGCCGATTGATGATTCTCTCTTATCCTTGATGTAACTATCTCTCTCTCTCTCTCTCCCTTTCCCTCTGTGAAGTCAATAAAAACATATTTTAAAAACAAACAACAGTTGGAGAACCCAGCCAGTATGGCTCAGTGATTGAGTGTTGACCCATGAATCAGGAGGTCATGGTTCGATACCTGGTCAAGGCCCATGCTTGGGTTGTGAGCTCTATCCCCAGTGGCATGCAGGACACAGCCTATTGATGATTCTCTCTCATCATTGATGTTTCTGTCTCTCTCCCTTCTTCTCTGAAATAAATAAAAACATATTTTAAAAATATTTTTTAAAAAAACAGTTGGAAACAGCAATCAGGCTCAACTACAAGACTGTGCTCACATGGGCCTACCTAGAGTGCCCAGCTCAGGTGATAGAAAACTGAGTCACTGGGCCCTACAGGATACCTACTACACAAGGCTAATTCCAGGAGACATAGCGGCTCTACCTAATATAGAGAAACAAATACAGAGAAGCAGCTAAAATGCGGAAACAAAGAAACATGTCACAAGTAAAAGAAATGAAAGCAAGAAAACTATTGGATACAGCGTTCAAAGCAATGGTTACAAGGTTACTCAAGGATCTTAATGAGAGTTTGAAGGGAATTAATGGGAGCTTCAATGGACTTAGTAAGACTTTCAAGGATCATAGTGAGAATGTCAAAGACATAAAAAAGGACCAGTCAGAAATTAAGCATATACTAACTGAAATAAAGAATAATTTACAGGGATTCAACAGGAGAATAGAGGAATCTGAGAATCAAATCAACAACTTGGAATATGAGGGGGCAAAAAACACCCACTCAGAAGAGCAAAAAGAAAAAAGAATCCAAAAATATGAAGATAGTGTAAGGAGCCTCTGGGACAACTTCAAGTATACCAACATTCACATTATGGGGGTGCCAGAAGGAGAAGAGAGAGATATTGAAAAACTATTTGAAGAAATAATGACAGAAAACTTCCCTACCTGGTGAAAGAAATAGACTTACAAGGGCAGAGAATCCCAAACAAGAGGAACCCAAAGAGACCCACACCAAGACACATTATAATTAAAATGCCAAGAATTAAAGACAAAAAAAGAATCTTTAAAGCAGCCAGAGAAAAGCAGTCAGTTACCTACAATGAAGTGCCCATACGACTGTCAGCTGATTTCTCAACAGATACTTTGCAGGCCAGAAGGGAATAATTCTGGCAAGAAATATTCAAAGTGATGAATAGCAAGATTACTCTACCCAACAAAGCTATCATTTAGAATTGAAGGTCAGATAAAGAACTTCACAGACAAGAAAAAGCTGAAGGAGTTCATCACCACCAAACCAGTATTACATGAAATGTTGAGGGGTATTCTTTAAGAAGAGGAAGAAGAAGAAGGGGGGCGGGGAGAGGAGAATCAAAAATAGGAATAATAAAATGGCAATACATACATATATCAACAACTGAATTTAAAAGTCAAATGAACAAGAAATCTAATGGACAAAATAAACTGATGAATAAAATAGAATCAGAGGCATGGAAACATAGAACAAACTAACGAATCTCAGAGAGAAGGGGAGAGGGGCAAGAAGAGATTAATTAAAGATCTTATATGCAGCCGAAACCGGTATGGCTCAGGGATAGAGCGTCGGCCTGCGGACTGAAAGGTCCCAGGTTCGATTCCGGTCAAGGGCATGTACCTTGGTTGCGGGCACATCTCCAGTGGGAGATGTGCAGGAGGCAGCTGATCGATGTTTCTAACTCTCTATCCCTCTCCCTTCCTCTCTGTAAAAAATCAATAAAATATATTAAAAAAGAAAAAAGATCTTATATGCATACTAGAGGCCTGATGCACGAAATTCGTGCAAGGGGCTTGGCCCTCGCAGTCGCGGCTTCGTCAGGAAGGTCGTCCAGATGGTCATTCCACTGTTCAGCTGTTCAGTCTGATTAGCATATTATGCTTTTATTATTACAGATTTGCATGACCTATGAATACAGACAGTAGGGTGGAGAAGGCCTGGGGTGGGGTGGGGTGGGACCCAGGTGAAGGGGGCAATGGGAGGAAAAAGGGGGACATTTGTAATACTCTCAACAATAAAGATTAAAAAAACAAACAGTTGGAGAATACAGCTGTTGCCAAAGAAGAAAATAAAAATCTCAGGAAAGCTCACCAGAGACATTCATTGTTATCTTTTCATTTCACACTAGTTATTAAATGCTACTCTAGGCAAGGCACTATGTTTGTCAGCCAAATATATGAATATACATCATCATCTTTACCCTATGGAGCTTAAATTCTACTGGGAGAGATGGTTATATTCTGATATATATTTATTAGAATTGTAGCTGTGGTAAGTGTCACAGAGAAAAGGTATAGGATGCAAAGCAATCGTGTTGACTGGGAGAGCTTAACCTAATTTAGGAAATATTTCCTTCCCATCTTTGTTCTATGATATTTAATACATACTGTCCAGTCCTAACTGGTTTGGCTCAGTGGATAGAGCGTCGGCCTGCAGACTCAAGGGTCCCAGGTTCAATTCTGGTCAAGGGCATGTACCTTGGTTGTGGGCACATACCCAGTAGGGAGTGTACAGGAGGCAGCTGATCGATGTTTCTCTCTCATCAATGTTTCTAACTCTCTATCCCTCTCCCTTCCTCTCTGTAAAAATTAATAACATATATTTTAAAAAATAAGTACTGTCTAGATAACATATGTAACTTTCTCGTGCTTTTTAAAAATGCCACACTGTGGCCCTGACTGGTTTGGCTCAGTGGAGAGAGCGTCGGCCTGTGGACTGAAGGGTCCCAGGTTCAATTCTGGTCAAGGGCATGTACCTTGGTTGCGGGCACATCCCCAGTAGGGGGTGTGCAGGAGGCAGCTGATCAATGTTTCTCTGTCATCGATGTTTCTAACTCTCTGTCCCTCTCCCTTCCTCTCTGTAAAAAGTCAATAAAATATTTATTTATTTATTTATTTATTTATTTATTTATTTATTTATTTATTTTTAATGCCACACTGTGGCCCTGGCCAGGTGACTCAGTTGGGGCATCGTCCTGTACACCAAAAGGTTGCAGGTTCGATTCCTGGTGGGGGAGCATGCAAGAGGCAACCAATCGATGTTTCTCACATCAATGTGTTTCTCTCTCTTTCTTCCCTCCTCTCTAAAATCAATAAAAACATATCCTCGGGTGAGGATTAAAAAACAAATAAAAATAAAAATGCCACACAGTGGAATGCTGTTATTTTTCAGTAAGTTCTGTGTGACCTGTCTCGCTCACCACTGTGTTGCCAGCCCTTAGCACAGTTCCTTTGTCATCCAGTAGGTACTTTTCCAGCTGCAAGTAGTGGACTCACACTTAAGCTCACTTTAGTGAGAGGGGAATTTTGAATAAGAACTTTGGCATCTTGGTCACCTTCCTTTCAGGTACACTGAGGAATGGGAGATTCTTCTTAAACGGTACCATCCCAAGTTCCCAGTGGTACCCTAGGCAGCTCACTCCAGCCCCTCCTGAAAGCCATGAGATCCACTAGGAGCTGTTTAGGGCCCACATTGGGCATTACTGAATTCCTCAGCCTTGTTTAGTTCCAGAATCAGTGAGGCCAGCTTCTCAGCAGGAATCAGCAGTGCTGGGAAGGAACTGGCCTGCTCCACCGGTCAGATATTGTTGGCTAGCTTCTGCCCCCTGATGGCCGGGTGATGGGAACAGGCTCATCCCTGTCTAATGCATAATAATACTCCCTCCACGACTGGTAGTTGATTGAAAAGTAGAATATTCCAGTTGCCTCTAGAAGAGGCAACTTTCTGCCATCTCTAAAGGATCCATGTGGCCTCAGCAGGTGAATGCTAAATTTATTTCCATGGGGCTTGGTCATGGGGCCAAATTTGGCCACCCTCGAATCCTTTATTAGGCTCTAAAAACATGATATTTCCACTTTTAAATGTGTATCTCCCCTAGGCTTAACTGCCCCTCAGTCCGCTCCCGTGAGCCAAGCTTGCAGGCCACCTAATCCTCACACAAAGTGTACAGAAGCTAAGAATGCAGCTTGGCTGCTTCCCCCACTGCCCTAGCCCGCCTTCCAGTCTTCCTTCCACGCCTTCCTTTGATGGGGATGTCTCTATGTACAGGCACTTCTGCGCATGGGCCACGAAATTTCAATCGCACTGTACATAGGTGCCCGCATGTGGTATTTTGTGGAAGAGCCACACTCAAGGGGCCAAAGAGCCTCATGTGGCTCGCGAGCCGCAGTTTGCCGATCACTGGGCTAGGGTCTCAATATTTCTTCAACATTGTCTAATATCTAGTCCTGTTCAAATTTCCCAAATCTCTCATATTTTTTGTTTGTTTTACAATTGGTTCAAATCAGGATTCAAAGGAGATCCATACATGATGTTGAATTGATAAGTCTCTATTTTTCTCCTAACATTATTGAGCTAAACTGAAGTACACAAAACTGCACATACTTAATGTGCAATCTTGAGTTTCTTTTTTATTTTTTCTTCTAATTTTCTTTTTCTTTGGTCACTTATTCTGTAGAGCTTCCTGCATTCTGGCTTTTGCCAGTTTCAGTCCTATAGTGGTGTTTAACATGGCCCTCTATTCTCTGTATTCCCTGAAATTGGTGGTTAAATCTAGATCTTGATCTAGTTCAGTCTTGATTTTTTGAGGCAGGTCAAGGCCACCTTGTAGACAGGCTTGAGTTCTTCCGTCAGTCAGTGCCTCCCTTTCTTGCTGTGAGGGATTGGTGTGTCTCCATGGGGCGAGAGGCCACACTGTTCTTTCTGACTCCCTGAGGAAGCCCCTGAGGCCCACTGCCCCCAGAGGCTCCCGAGTTCCATGGTGTCTTTGCAGAGGAAACCGCAGGAGGTTCTGGCCCAGTGGTTCTGAACCTTCCTAATGCCACGACCCTTTAATACAGTTCCTCATGTTGTGGTGACCCCCAAACATAAAATTATTTTTGTTGCTACTTCATAACTGTAATTTTGCTACTGTTATGAATCGTAATGTAAATATCTGATATGCAGGATGTATTTAAGCGACCCCTGTGAAAGGGTCGTTTGACCCCCAAAGCGGTCGCGACCCACAGGTTGAGAACCGCTGTTCTGGGCATTCCTCCCGTGAGGCAGCAAGATGGGGCCGCGGTTAGAGGGCGGCAGGAGTCATGGCTCTGCCGCTTACTGGCTGTGTGACCCTGGGCAAGTTACTCAACTCCTTTGAGTCTCGGTTTCCTCTTCTGCACAGTGGGGATAGTGCAGGAGCCGTTTGCTTTTGGCTGGGCTGCTTCAGGAGATGGGGCTCTGAATGACTTAGCTGCTTTGGGTCATCTTCCTTCTGGGTACACTTGTGTCTGAGAGGCCTCTGAAACACGAGTCCCTGAGCCAAGCACAGATCCATGTGCCGGGGCAGAAGGCAGTGTTGAGTCAAGCTCCTTCCTGTGCTGCTTTGAGCTGAGAAGCTGGTGTCTCGTCAGTGAGGTAGCCACTGTTGGACTAAAAATTCAGGTTTCCTATTGCACCTTCCCCAAAGCGAGGCTCTGGCACGCTGAGACATCTCTGGTGGAGGTGACAGCCTGCGATGGGAAACTGAGTTTCTGTACTTGTGTTACAAACTGTGATCATAACTAGGCTTAAAAACAAACACGGAAAGGAGATGGAAAGCAAACTGTCTTCATGTGCAGTGTTTATCATTTAGGTGTGGGAATACATGTGACTTTTTAGTGTCACTTTTCTGTGCTTTCCAGACTATCCTCTCTCCATCTGGAACCGTTCATGAGCCAATTGATGACTGAGTGGGGCACCCAGTCCAGCTGTGGGGAGGGACCCCAAAGGGTGGGAGCTACCTCCCTCTGACTGGGCTCCATCACAACGACAACAGAGTCAGCTGGCATCACCTGCTGCCGTGTTGGGCATTATCTCTGCAGTAGGTCCCCACAACAGTTCCAGCTGGAATATTTTGTGATGCATCCTGTTCTGCTGAAGTTGTAAATGACACATCTCTCTAGTACTCACCCTAATTATTTTTTTCCAGGTCTTAGTTCCCTGCAAAGGAAGCCTAACAAGCAACGTTCAGTCTACTTGTCAGTTTGAGTCCTATATTTTGAAACCAGTGGAAGAACACTTTCAGACCTTAAATGGAAAGGTATTCATTTCTTTGTGGATCAACCAGGGTTACTCACAGTATTTGGGTGGGCTGGAGGGGAGAGAATCCTGCTTGTCGCCCTTTCACATCTATGTTAAATGATGGCTTTAACACAGCCGCCCTGTGGGATGGGGTTGGAGGGCCTGCTGCCTTTGAGGAAAGAGGAGATGGTAGTGCTGAGCAAGGCCTTGGCTGGGCATCTCTTCCTCAGCCTATGGGTTTCCTGCCAGTGATATCTCTTCCTTGAGGTCCTGGCAAAGCAAGCTATTTTATCCCTGTGACATTGGCCACAAATTGGAGATCAGGGATTAAGTTTAATTTTTTTAAAACTTTGTTTTGAGCCCAGCTGGTATAGCTCAGTGGTTGAGCATCAACCTGTGAACCAGGAGGTCCTTATTCCTAGTCAAGGCACATGCCCAGGTTGTGGACTCGATTCCCAGGAGGGGGCATGTAAGAGGCAGCCAATCGATGATTCTCTCTCATCATTGATGTTTCTATCTTCTCTCCCTCTCCCTGTCTCTCTCCCTTCCTCTCTCTGAAATCAATAAAAATATATTTTTAAAAAACACCCAGTTTTGTTTTTGAAATCATCTCAATCCTACAGAAAGTTTCAGTAAAGTAGAAAGAACTCTCATATACCCTTCACCTAGATTGGTGAACTATTAACATTTTGGCCACATTTATTTTATCACTATACATAATATACATTACTATTACTTTTTCTGAACCTTTTTCAGAAAATGTTTCATGAACCATGTCCCTTTACTTCAAAACAATTCCATCTGTATTTCCTACATAACCAGAGCACAGTGATCATACTCAGAAAATTTAACATTGATAGAGTACTGTCCTCCAACATCCTGTTCTCATACGAGCTATGTTAATTGCACTAATAATTGCACTTTCAGATCCAGGGTCCCAGAATGCATTTTCAGTTTTCTTCTTTTGCAAGAGGCCCTCAGTCTGTCTCTCATGACACTGACATTTCTGTTTTGCTTTGGAGACTCGCCCTCCGTGTGGGCCCTCGGATGTTTCCTCATGATTAGATTAGCAGTTATCGTTTCTGATGGGAATGCTTCCAAAGGGTATTTTATCTTTCTCAGTGAATCACGTCAGGGGACACATGATATCCATCTATCTCGTAGTCAGTGCTATTTTGGAGTATGCATTTTCTTATTTTTTAAGTGTAAGCAGGTAGGAGCTGACAGCAGGAGGTTCCATTCCTCATCAGGACTTTCCAACCCAGCAGCTGTAGGCACTGTGTGGGGAAGAGGGATGATGGGACATGGGGTGACCTGGACACCGGCTTGGGGTCAGCAGCCCAGTGGCTCACGAGGCATGCCACTGTTTTCCTGCCAGAGATCTGCTCACCACAGCTGCCAGTCCCTTATTAGTTTTTTGTTCTCTTTGGGGTACCCAGATCTACACAGAGCAGAGCAGTCAGGCTTATCACAGCGGGTCTGCCCTGGGCTCCCTGGCCATGGCCAAAGTGGTGAGCCTCAAAGGGGACTGCAGCATCATTGTCCAGCTGAACACCAGACACTTTGGTCTTTTGTTCAGATAGGAGAGCCTTCCTACTCTTCCATTCCTGGAGGGTGTAGTTTCTGCTACTCTGAGGAACAGCTTAGTGCTTCTTCTGTTACAACATTGAAAAAGGATCAGGGCCCATCCAGTGTGGCTCTGGTTGAGCGTGGACCTATGAACCAGGAGGTCATGGGTTCGATTCCTGGTCAGGGCACATGCCCAGGTCTTGGGCTCAATCCCCAGTGTAGGGTGTGCAGGAGGCAGCTGATCAATGATTCTCTCTCATCATTGATGTTTCTATCTTTCTCTCCTTCTCCCTTCCTCTCTGAAGTAAAAATATATTTTAAAGAATAGAAAAAGTATCAGGATACTACTGTAGCCACAACTACAAAGTGAACAAAGAGGAAAGAAAAACATTTTAGTATCAAAAAGTAAATTAAAGAGTAGTCCTCCTATGGCCATAGCTCAGTTAGTTAGAGCATCATCCGTATATGCCAAGTTTGTGGGTTCGATCCCTAGTCAGAGCACATACAAGAATCAACCAGTGAGTGCATAAATAAGTGGAACAACAAATCAGTGTGTGTGTGTGTGTGTGTGTGTGTGTGTGTGTAAAAAATCAAAAGAGTGGTGCTGTCCCTACAAACCCACATTGGAGCGAAGAGGGGCAGGTTGGGTAAAGTACTGTATTGGGTCCAGGCGGAGGGGTCGATAGTCACCACTGGTTAGTGGTGCAGTGATGATTCTCTTATTCTAGGATGTCTTTATACAAGGAAACAGGATTAAATTAGGAGCTGGTTTCGCCTGTCTTCTCTCAGTGCCCATTCTCTTTGAAGAAACTTTCTACAATGAAAAAGAAGAAAGTTTCAGCCTACTGTGTATAGCCCATCCTTTGGAGAAGAGAGAGAGTTCAGGTATTCTGCAAGAAAGCCCCTTTCTCTTGATTCGGAGCAATGTATTTATTGAATTTCCTCCTGACATAACTATTACAAACACCCCATAAAGTACTCAAGAGCCCACTAGAAAACTGCATAATTATTTACATAATTGCCCCATAGAACTTATTAAGAAGGTTATCTCGAGCTAAGGTGTGGACTGGGCTGCTGCATATGGTTGCACAGTTTGGACATGACAGTTCCAGGAGGCAGTATTCACATAGGCCTCAGTGTGTATGTTGTCCCCTAGAGTTGTGCAAAGTGGTAGCCCTGGCTTTGTCTCGGGCCTCGGCTTTAGAGCTAGCTCTTATAGCATTATTACCCACCCAGCCCCACTGTGGTGCCTCTTAAGATCTCATTATTTTTAATGAATAATAATTCTTCAGCTGCTCCAGGAAATTGAGGCAGCAATTTTCCAAATGCAGTTTAAGGCTTTATTATCAGGAATCGGCTTCTTCACCAGAGCCACACAGGTCATGCCCAAGATCCCAGGTAGTCCAGGTTTTGTCCCAGAAAATGGTCTCAAGAGGACCAGGCTCTCTGAACCCTGGGTTGTCCTGTAACTGGGCTGCCCTTGGGCAGTATCTTGAAATAGGTTCATCCTCCTCTTCCCCCTGGAAGGTGGGGCCCAGACCCTGGGGAAGCAGGGCAAAGGATGTGGCACTTCCCCTGCCAGGAAACAGTGAAAGCTTCAGTCATCCTGACTCTCTGTCTCTTTTTCAGAAGAGCCTTCAACACCCTCAGATACCTTTTCCTTGAAAACCATCGAAGATGTGAGAGAGTTTTTGGGAAGACACTCGGAGAGATTTGACAAGAACATTGCCTCTTTCCAGCGAACATTCAGGGAATGTGAAAGAAAGAGCCTCCGTCACCACATAGTCAGTACCTGTGTCTTGCTTTGCCAGGCATGCCTGGTCTCAGGCCAGTTTAGAGCCCAGAATCCCTCTCAGTTTTCTCTCAAGCTTTGCTGCCTCCACTGTTGGAAATTTGTTTGAAATATTTCTTTCTAACTATAAAAGTAGTACAAGCCACTGTAGAAAACTTGAAAATCACAGAGAAGTATAAAAGTTATTATCACCTTGGACGATGTGCACAGTGGTTAGAGCATTGTCCTGCACACCAAAGGATCATGGATTCGATTTCCAGTCAAGGGCACATACCTGGGTTTCAGGTTCTATCCCCAGCCCCAGTCAGGGTGCATGTGGGAGGCAACCAATCGATGTGTCTCTTTCACATCAATGTTTCTCTCTCTTTCTCGCCGCCCCCCCCCCCCCACACACTCTAAAAAAAAAAAAAAAAATCAATGGAAAAATATCCTCTGGTAAGGATTTGTGTGTGTGTGTGTGTACGTATATATATATAAATCCCTAGCTGGTTTGGCTCAATGGATAGAGCATTGTTCTACAGACTGAAGGGTCCCAGGTTCGATTTTGGTAAAGGGCACAGGGGATATGCAGGAGGCAGCCAGTCAATGATTCTCTCTCATTGATGTTTCTATCTCTCTTTCCCTCTCCCTTCCTTTCTGAAATCAATAAAGATATATTACATATATATATATGTATGTACATATATATATTAGCATACATATATATAATACATATATATTAAGCATCTTAACTCCAAAAGGATTTTATTTCTATTTTTAATGCATATACACCTAAAAAAAAAAAGTTGAAAAAAATAACTGAGTTGATAAACATGCATAAGCACTTAAAGTTTGTCACATTTTGTAAAATGTTCTCTTCACTCCAGGACATGTTGCATGTCTGGGTTTTGTGTTATGGCCTGTCTCTCTGCTCTGTCACTTAGGACGCGGTAAATGCGCTCTACACCAAATGCCTCCAGCACCTTCTGAGGGACTCTCACCTGGTAAGCAGCAGGGCTTTCAAAAGAGAGAATTGAAGTTTGCCCACATGCAAAGCCAAGCACTTTTACTGTACTTTCCTTGTTTTCTAGAAGATGCTTGCCAGGCATGAGGCCCAGATGAACCTGATGAAGCAGGCGGTTGAGGTAAGAGGCCAGGGCAGTGAGGGGAGAAGGCGGCAGTTCTGTGACTCTCCTTGCTGCCCCCCACACACACCCTGAACTGGGGTTCGTTGATTTCACAGATGTACGTCCAGCACGATATTTATGATCTGGTCTTTAAATATGTGGGGACCATGGAAGCAAGTGAGGTAGGTTCTAAATCTCCATCACCCAGGTTGGAAGCCTTATTCTGTGCTTTCTAGGAAATTTGAAGCTTCGTTAAAATCTGTTGTTAGGATGCTGCCTTTAACAAAATCACAAGAAGCCTTCAAGATCTTCAGCAGAAAGATATTGGTGTGAAACCTGAGTTCAGGTAAGGGTTTGCACTGCAGCAGCTCAGCATCCTCAGAGGCAGGGCCCTCGGCAGCAGTGGCGGCAGGCTGATTTGACTTGGTTCATACTGAGGAGCAGTGCAGTTATTTGTGACCAAAGATAAAGTGCTGATGTTGGCAGATGACTGTGTTGTAGCTGTCACCCTCCTGCACCTGTCTGCCCACGTACCACCTGGGTAGGAGCTAAAGGGGCTGTGATTTCCCACAGTTGGTCTCTAGGTGGGCACATAGCTCACCCAGGTGGGTTCTGTCCTCACCTGCCCATCCGAGGGAACCCTGCCAAAGAGACAACTTCTGAATTAATTTAAGTTTCATTAGGATAAAAAAATGTCTGAAGTGTTTATGTTTAAACTACTTATTTTTCCTTTGGGCTATTTCATTCTGGGGCTAAGGACTTTCGATTTTTCCCCCTCTAATTTTCTGGTGCTGCTGTCACTGGGCAGCCTGAATGAGACATTAGAAGCTGTTGTGTTTTGCCACTGACTTGAGTGAGATGGCTTCTGGGTTTCTATTTTTATTTTTCATTACTATGGTTTGTTATAAGAAATGTAAATCAGAGGTACATTATTAGACCAGAGAAAAAGGGCCCATATGTTGTGCTCTTAAGTTGTCACTTGCCAAATTATTTTACAGCTTCAACATACCTCGTGCAAAGAGAGAACTGGCTCAGCTGAACAAATGTACCTCCCCACAGCAGAAGTTGGTTTGTTTGCGAAAGGTGGTGCAGCTCATTACACAGTCTCCTAGCCAGAGAGGTTTGTGCTGGGGAAGGGGCCCGGCAGGGGGGGTAGATGCATCCACCCAGAAGCAGAAGTCTGTTAAGGAGCAGTGCTGTCTTAAAGGACCATACAGATGGGCTGGTGTGTGCAGCCCAGCCTTCTAGCATGAGCACCTTGGGGTCTGTGCTGATGAGTGAGTGCCTCCTAATGGGGCGGGGGTAGATGTGTCATGACTGTGGTAAGAAAATGGTGGCAGAGGAACAGCAGCCTCAGAAATGAGCCAAGCTGGTGATGGGTACATAGGGGTTCAAGCGTCCTTTAGACTGTTTGCAGTCGTTTTGAATATGTTTAAAATTTTCCAGTATAAAAAGTTAAACAAAATAAGCCAAGAAAAAAGTAATGAGGCAGATTTGTGTATGCAGATAGGGAATGATCTTAAAAGTATATTAAACGGCCGAAACCGGTTTGGCTCAGTGGATAGAGCGTCGGCCTGTGGACTGAAAGGTCCCAGGTTCGATTCCGGTCAAGGGCATGTACCTGGGTTGTGGGCACATCCCCAGTAGGAGATGTGCAGGAGGCAGCTGATCGATGTTTCTCTCTCATCGATGTTTCTAACTCTCTATCTCTCTCCCTTCCTCTCTGTAAAAAATCAATGAAATATATTTAAAAAAAAAAAAGTATATTAAACGAAATAAACAGGAGTGTATTTGGCACACTTTCCTCTCTACAAGCATGTCCTTGGGTGAGGATTAAAAAAAAAATAGGCTGCTTTCAGCATTGGCTCCATAGTGCATAAAGCAGAAATGACCTGAGGAGGAAGGAGGCTTTCAGCAGGGGCTCTGGCACACCTTCCTTCGTGTCCACTGTTATTGATCTCCTGGGATCTGCCCATCCAGGAAGGTGGCGCGGGGTGGTTTGCTTGGAGTTCCCTTCTCTTGTACATGTTCTGGGAATGGTAGGCCTTTGTGTTCCCCTTGAATCTGACATCTGTTCAGGATACTGTAAAGGAAATTGTGCAATTGAATTTCTCTCTGACGTGTAATCTTACTGGATTGTGGTTTTGTGGGTTGAATTGTGGTGAGGAGTTGAAAGGATTGTTCGTCCATTTGAGTCTCATGATGACTTTGAACATGTTTCCTCCTTGCAGTTAACTTGGAGACTATGTGTGCTGATGATCTGCTATCAGTCCTGTTATATTTGCTTGTGAAAACAGAGATACCTAATTGGTAATATTTTTTGTTACAATCGTTTTTCAAATGGCAGTACTATACTATGGCAGTTTTAGTATAACTCTAGGAAAGTGAGCACCTCTCATGAGTCAGGTGCCATGCCTGCTCCACCTTCATTTGGCAGTGGGTGGCTCTCCTTCCGTTTATAGATGGGGAACTGAGGTCCAGAGAGCTTACATTTCTCATTCTGGAACATGCAGCTAGTCAGTGGCTGAGCAGGAAGCTGTGTGGTCCCAACGCTCATCTTCTTCCCATAGGAACCCACAGCTCACTTTACAATAATGAGCTTTCTAAAAAATAGCCTATTTCAGCCACGTTGGTTGGGCACCACCCCGTACACTGAAAGGTTGCTGGTTTAATTCTCAGTCAGGGCTCATACCCAGGTTGCAGGCTCGATTCCCTGGAGGGAGCATGCAGGAGGCAGCTGATCCGTGGTTCGCTCTCACATGTTCCCTCCCTCTCTCTCTAAATATCAATTTTAAAAATCTTTAAAAAAATACATAAAAATTAAAAATAGCCTATTCCAGGAAAATAACGAGTAGTTTTATTTCTTTTCCTAATTACACACACTCTAAAATAGAGAGTGAGGGCTTAGCAGTCAGTGTTCCCTGGAGCTAACCAAGTTCAGTCACCTGAGCCAATAGCATTGTTTCTGCAAGTGTTAATTGTGTACAAGAATCAAACCTTTTTTTCCTTTTGTTAGGATGGCAAATTTGAGTTATATCAAAAACTTCAGATTTAGCAACTCGACAAAAGATGAATTGGGATACTGCTTGACCTCAGTTGAAGCTGCAATTGAATATATTCGGCAAGGAAGCCTCTCTGTCAAACCGCTGGTAAGACCCCTCCTCCCTTGGTCTTTCTGTGGGGGTGTCACTGCACACTGATAGGGTTCTGAGGTCGGTGTGGAGGGGTGAATTCTTCAGTGGTGCCTGGGAATGAGGCCTCAGCTGTTTACAGGCCCTGAGCCCGGACAGCAAGCCAGCACACTGAACACTGAGCTCCTGATTTGGCTGTGAAAGCTTGTGGGTTTTCATTGGGGCTTACATATCCTGCTTCACTGTTAATATCCTGCTTCACTGATCCTCATCACCCTCAAAAGCATGGGCAGAGGGGAAGCTAGAAACAGTGACTTTGGATATCTTGACCATATAGGCAAGAAATGAGGTTAATGTATGCAATGTTAGGACTCAGTGGCCTTATTATTACTTTCTAGGTTGGTTGGTGAGCTTTGGCTAAGGAGAGGAGATTATATTTCTTTGTGAATTGTGAGAATCTTAAACCAAGATTGCATTGCTGGCTTATTTCACTGCATACCAACCAGCAAAATGTGACAGTACTCACAGAAATCACAAAGTTAAAATTAATAAAGTGAAGAGATTTCTGTATTGAGTTCTGGGGATTAAACTTTATTTGATCCTAATTTTCTACTGATGTTAGAATCTCCCAAAATAATAAGTTAAAACATCTGGAAAAGAGCACAAGCCTGTCCAGGCAGGTGCACTTGGGTAAAAGCTGGTTCTCAGAATTCATTTATCATTAACATGTTTATTTTTTATTGTTGTTTTTGTTTTATGTTTTTATTGATTTCAGAGAGAGGAGGAGGGAGGGAGAAAGATATAGAAACATCACTGCTGAGAGAGAATCATTGACCGGCTGCCTCTTGCATGCCCTCTACTGGGAATCGAACGGTGACCTCCTGGTTAATGAGTTGATGCTCAACCACTGAGCCATGTTTATGTTTTTTCCCAAAAAGAATAAATTTTATTTTTTTCTGATTAGAAGACTACTATTTGCTTATAAACAACATTTGAAGGAAGCAAAAACCTCTTGTAAACTCACTAGGTGGGGGTAACTTTTATTAACATTTGGGCGTATGTCTTTTCTCAGTGCCATATAATTGTATTTTTAACCAAAATTTGAGATTATGCTGCACTCATTGGCACGTAGCCCAATAGCATCATGGTGCAAGTTCTGCTCTTGTCTGGGTTTTGGTTTGATCTCCCACGTGTAAGCTGGTGAAATTGGAAGCTGTCCAGCTCTTCTCAGATGTGGTTGGCTGTGACTCTTGTGGAAAGGTGCTTCTCATTTAGGGGGAAATCACTCACATTCTAGAAGGGTCATGTGTGCACTCCACATGCACAGGTGTCTGCAGAATCAGTTGTCACTCACTCCCATAGTAACGAAGTAAGATTTCTTAGTTTGAAAATGGTCTTCTGTGAGATTCCAGAAATGTGGTGTATGTTTTTTTTTACTTTATGTGATCATAGTTAAATATTTTGTTTTTCTTTCAATTTTATTTTGTATTGGTTTTCGATGGATATCATAGTGTTTAGACCAGCCGTGGGCAAACTACGGCCCGCGGGTCGGATCCGGCCCGTTTGAAATGAATAAAACTAAAAAAAAAAGACCGTACCCTTTTATGTAATGATGTTTACTTTGAATTTATATTAGTTCACACAAACACTCCATCCATGCTTTTGTTCCGGCCCTCTGGTCCAGTTTAAGAACCCATTGTGGCCCTCGAGTCAAAAAGTTTGCCCACCCCTGGTTTAGACAATCATATACTTTACATAGTGTTCCCCTCGATATTTCCAGTACCCAACTGATACCACACATAATTATTACAATATTATTGACTACATTTCCTATGCTGTACTTTACATCCCCATGGCTGTTTTGTAACTGCCAATCTGTACTGCTCAGTCCCTTCACCTCTCTCACCCAGTCTCCCAAGCCCTTCTCCCCTCTGGAAACCACCAGTCTGTTCTCTGTGTCTATGAGTCTGTTTCAGTTTTGTTTGTTCACTTATTTTGTTCTTTAGATTTTACATATAAATGAAATCGTATGGTATTGTGCCCATCAATAGACAAGTGGATAAAAAAGCTGTGGTGTATATATACAATGGAATATTACTCAACCATAAAAGAGAATGAAATCTTACCATTTGCCACAGCATGGATGGACCTAGAGGGTATTGTGCTCAGTGCAATATCTCAGTCTAGGAATGTGTTTTCCTGTGGTGCCTGCAGTGGTTTTGTGATGGTCCTGCCCTCTGGTTCTCACCCTCTCATCCGTCTGAGAGGTCACTCCCTTCCTGGCTCTACCACCCTGCAGAGGAATTGCCTGATGCTCCTTGATGGGGCCAGAAGCGCCCTGTCACTGGAAGGAGGTATCCACCTCTTGAAGGTGCTCCTGTCCCCTTCCTGCCCCCGTTCTCTACTGTGGCCATCTTGCTTTCTTATTTTCCATGTGGGCAGGAAGGCCAGCACTTGAAGGCCTTTGGCCAGGGTGTAAGAAAGTGGCTGACCAAACAGTGTCAGTTGAATTTTTTTTTAATCTTCACCCGAGCATGTTTTTTTCATTGATTCTACAGAGAGAGGAAGGGAGAGGGAGAGAGAGAGAGAAAGAGAGGATTGGTTGCCTCCTATTCAAACCAGGGATTAAACCCACAACCTAGATATGTGCCCTGGACAGGAATTGAACCCTTCAGTGCATGGGATGACACTCAACCAACTGAGCCACACTGGCCCGGACTCCATGCCCACTTCTACTTCAGAAAATATTCCAAGTGACAGGGAAGAGGGGGTGCAGATGGAGGTGGAAGAGAGTATAAGGGGAATAAATGGTGATGGGGAGAAAAATAAAGGAAAAAAAGATTCCAGTGGGATTGGGGGAGTGTTTGAGGAGTAATCCTTCTTGTGCTGGTGTTGGTTTGAGTCCAGCACTTCTGTTTGTCTCTCTAAGCCTCTGTCCATCTTCTGGTCTATACTGGGGATAATGTATATTTTACCCCTTACTCGGTAGTTAAGAGACTCAAATGGAATATTCGAAAGTGCCTTTTTGAATTGTGAGGTGATACTGGTGCCCTTAGTTACTCTTCTAATGCCTCTGCATGTGGGTGTCTTTGTCTCCTGGTTCTTGGGTGCATTCTGCATGGATGGGCGAAGGGGTGTGGAACACAGCCCAGGGTGCTCCTCTAGTCAAGGGGTGTCTGACCCTGGTTCTGCCTTTCTGGATGAGAGGTGGTTGGTCCCATCAGATGATGGGACCAGGTGTGCATCATCTGGCTTGCTGGGAAGCCCGTCCCTTGGGTCTTGAGTGGTCAGGCCTGAGAGATGTTCTTTACTTTATTGACAGAGCAGGTGTTGTGGCTTCCTGTCTTTTGTGATACCATTGTTGGGGTTCCATCTGTAATATCACCTCTGCCTAGCTGCCAACTGAGTTCTTTGCAGTAGTGCAGTTCCCTCTAGGAGTGTTCAAGGCCATGTTATGTATTGGTGTCGTTCGTTTTCTAGGGAAAGAGCCCAAGAGTGTCTTCATACAGTAGGCGAGGTTTCTGAAAATCATTAAAGACCAAATATTAGTAAATTGAATTCTGTCTTACTCTCGACTCTTTATATAATGTAGTTTCACAGAAATTTTCTCCCAAAGATAGAATCATACTTGAGATGACCATAAACATTCTTTAAGCATAAAGACTTAAATAAAGACTTTTAGCTTTTATTTTTTTGTAATTTTTGTTTTTGAATAGCATGACTGACTTTATTTTTCTATTGCCGTTGATATTCAATATTATTTTATATTAGTTTCGGGTGTACAGTATAGCAGGTTCCTTTATTTTATTTATTTATTTTATTATTTATCTATGCATTTATTGGTTGACTCTTGTATGTGCCCTGACTGAACTGTCGGGCCAGGGCCCATAACTTTTAGCTTTAAAAAAAAAAAACATTAGTGGGCTCTAACTGGTTTGGCTCAGTGGATAGAGCATCAGCCTGCGAACTGAAAGGTCCCAGGTTCTATTCCAGTCAAGAGCATGTACCTTGGTTGTGGGCGCATCCCCAAGTCGGGGGTGTGCAGGAGGCAGCTCATTGATGTTTCTCTCTCATTAATGTTTCTAGCTCTCTATCCTTCTCCCTTCCTCTCTGTAAAAAATCAATAAAATATATATTTAAAAAAAAAAAACATTAGTGGGATGACTCTAGTTTCACTTTTGTGGACAGAAAAGCCAGGAGAGAGAACCCTGGAAGCATCTGTACCCTCTGCTCTAGCTTTTCAGGCTCTGGTTTTTCTCACTTGACCAGGTTGCTAATAAGTAGTGTTCACCCCATTCCCGAATAGGGCTTCTCTCACATGCTATTCTTCTGGCAGCTCATTTTCCCCCGAAGATTCAGTCCTAGAGGACTTGCCTCTCTTCATTGCTGCCCTTGAAATAGTTCCCCAGAGTTGAGGAAAGAACACTGAATTTACCTCGGCAGTAATGTCTTTGATGTTTCTCTGACCCTAAGCTGCTCAGCTATGAATCACTGAATAAAACTGATAGAGCATTCATAGCTTATAACAGCGGGGAGCTAAAGTGGCTCTAATGCTGAGGTGTTGTTTGTTTGCCAAGTTAACCCTCTGAGGGCAGTCTTAACAGCAGACCCCAGAAATGGTCCGCTCCTCGAGATGCTGTCAGCTCTGTCTTAGCTGGACCTGTAAGTCAGAACTTAGCCTTATTCTAAAGTTTTATCTGGGTTGGTGAGTTATTCTGGCAGCAACTGGCTGGAAAAAAAATTCCCTTTATCACCCACAAAGACTCTTTTTAAGGAAGTTAATTTGTTATTAGTTTAGTAGCAGGTGCTCAACTGAGCATTATTAAAGTATCTTGCTAGAAATTATTTCATAAAATAAAGATAGGTAGGAGAAGGTATAGGGGGGATAAGTGGTGACGGAAGGAGACTTGAAGTGGTGAACACACAATACATGTACAGATGATGTGTTATAGAATTGTACACCTGAAATCTATATAATTTTGTTGACCAATGTCACCCCAATAAATTCAATAAAAAAGAAAAAAGTAAGGGTACATTATTAGATTTTTGTATCTAGGTAATCATAACTTTATTCACTGGGGTAGAACCCAGTATCCTATTGGACTTGGGCCAATGGCCCTATTGTTTGCTATTTTAATAAATATGTTCAAAAATTAAGACTCCTCTCTCCCCTGCTGGTTGCAATTGAGAAATATAGAACATCTGTCAGATGTTTTCCTGCCTGTAGACTGCAGATAAAATGGCAGGCATAGGGTTGTGCAGGTAGGACAGAAGTTTGAGAGAAGGAGGCCAGCACAGTCCAGGTTCCGTCTGGAGGAGGATGGTGTGTGCATGCAACATTCCACACTTAGAGATGACACATTCCACACGCGCGCAGCCAGTGTGCCGCCACTCTCCCAGAGCCCCCCCTGGAAAACAGTCATCAGAGCTACCATTTCCTGGAGAAACAGATAGGAAGCCCTTCTCCCAGCCTGATGAGGGTCAGCTCTCTGGCTCAGTGAAAGCGGGAGAGAGGAGCGCGGGATAAAACAGACTGTTGGGTTTTCCTGCAGGAGTCTGAGGGATTTGGTGACAGACTGTTCCTTAAGCAGAGAATGAGCTTACTGTCTCAGATGACTTCAACTCCCATTGACTGCCTGTTTAAGGTAAGACACCACAAGTCTTTCTTTGTGAGGAGCACGCCATCTTTCAGCATCTCTATCATCTCTTCAGAATCCACATGGTGTTCTGTGTAGTTAAACACTGAAGTTCGCTTTGTGCTCAGGGTGGTAGGGATGCTGAGGTTTTACAGGTGAAATCAGCACGTATGCTCATCTCCACAGCGTGTGCTGTGTGATGGCTGCGCTGGATGGTTCACCGAGGGCCCTGGGCCTCCACGTGTGGAACCCTCTGCCCCAACTGTCCTGGACAGGCTCCATATAGCCATCTCCCAAACTTAGTTCATCTCTGCCCTCACCCCCTTTCCCTATTCACCTGGATTATTTTGAAATAAATCTCAGAGAGCAAATCAATTCATCCATCTATATATTAGTGTTTCTGCAGCACTCAAAAAATTCACACCTTAAAAAGCACATTTCTCAATATTGATCGTATCTTTGATGTCACTTCTCAGCACATTGCTTCAGGTAACCAGAAAGAAGTGGAAAGACTTCTGAGCCAAGAAGACCAAGATAAAGATGCCATCCAAAAGATGTGCCACCCCCTGTGCTTCTGTGATGACTGTGAGAAACTTGTCTCTGGGTAAGAGAGTCCTCATGGAGGCTCCGTGTGCCAGGAAGCAGGATACTCGGGGCTTCGGTGGAACTTTTCTACTTCTTTGGCACGCTGCTGGGCTGGATACAGAATAGGCAGATATCGGGCCTGCCCAGCCTCAGCAAGTGTGTTTAGGATGGGAGAATGCCAACTTCCCCCAGTAACCCTTTCTGGTCTCCCCTTAACCTCGTCAGGCTATTTTGCTGGGTGTCAAGGCCTAGAGGGGTGGGGTGGCCGGGGGGAACACTAGATGCCTCAGTTCCTCACCCTGTGAGCAGGGACTGGGTTCTCTCTAGGACACTATAAGAGAGGCCCGGTTTGGATCATACCCTGAGATCTGTCTTCCAGTCCTAAGACCCTGGCATGGCCGGCCTTGTCAGGAAGAGGCTTTGCCCTGCTGTTCCTAGGGTGTCTTTCTCTGTATCTTTTCTCTGTTTTAGGAGGCTGAATGATCCTTCAGTTGTCACTCCATTCTCCAGAGATGACAGGGGTCATACACCACTCCATGTGGCTGCCCTCTGTGGTATGTGGTCTTGGGTGGGCCTCTGAGGGTTGTCAAGGAAAAGGGATGGAACCAAGGATGGCCCAGCAGAGGCCTGAGGCCTGGCTGACAGGTGCAGTGGAGTTGGGGTGTGGAAGGGGCTGTATCATGGGCCACCGCCGGTGGCTTCGTTGGAAGAGAAGAATAGCAGACGTTCCTCAGGCCTTCCTGTGCTGCTCCTGGGCTTGTCTGTGCTCTCACTGTCCTGGGCCGGTGGTCCAGGGAGGGAAGGCTTGAGTCTGAGCTATGAGAATGATCTTAGAATTGGGGTTCTTATATCCTGCTTTTATTTTATTTTATTTTTTTTCATTCATTTCAGAGAGGAAGGGAAAAGGAGAGAGATAGAAGCCATTAATCAGAGAGAACCATTAATCATTAATCAGAGAGAACCATTAATCAGCTGCCTCCTGCATGCCCCCCACTGGGGATTGAGCCCGCAATCTGGGCATGTGCCCTTGACCAGAATCGAACTCAGGACCCCCCAGTCCGCAGGCCGACGCCCCATCCACTGAACCAAGCCAGCCAGGGCTATATCCTGCTTTTAAAAAGTAACTTTTAAAGTGCACAAAGTAGAAAACACAAACCTCTCCAGTATCACCTGCCACCCTTCTGTCTCCCAGATATAATTTTGATTTATGAGTATCTGGAATTTCCCTGTGCTTGTGTGTGTATGAATATAAACATATGATATTGTGGGGACCATACTGTTCTATACTGTGCTTTTTTCACTCGGTGATATATAAGAACATTTCTCCTTGTCAGTATTTTTTAATGGTTGCACAGTATTCATCTTATGAATTGATGAACCATGGAATCTTCTGTGGGTGTCTGAGGCTCTTTTCTAGTACCTTCTCTTGCTAAGAAGTAGATTGGAACTGAGTCCCTGCTAAGAGACACCCCAAAGTGCCCAGAATCTGCAGAGTCTATGACTTGATGTTAGCTCTGGTTCCTCTCAAGCAGAAAAGTTCCTTCTGGCCTAGCTCATGCCAGGGAACAAGAGGGTAAAATAATGTTGTGGCTTCACACTTAGGGTTTGAAAGCCTCTTGTCTTTCTCCATTATGAAGTCCTTCTGTTCTGTAGGGCAGGCATCCCTCATTGACTTCCTGGTTTCCAAAGGCGCTGTGGTGAACGCCACGGACTATCACGGGTCAACTCCACTTCATCTTGCGTGTCAGAAGGGCTATCAGAGCGTGACGGTGAGCAGGGGGTGACGGCGCCACCAGTGCACGTGCTCGAACGAGCTGGGCTCTGACCGACTCCAGTCGTGGCTGTGCTCCTCTGTCCCACCGGCTGCAGCTGCACAGCGGGGCTGCGGGGCTGCGAGTCTGCAGCTCCTCCACCCCTGGACAAAACTGTGAGGTCTAGACTATCAGGACAAAAATTTTAGGACTTGCTTTCCTAAAATGTCCTGATAATCTGGGGGTAGCGGGGTGGGCATGTAACTTTTTTTTTTTTATCTCGAAACATTTTTATCTCTAAGGAAGGATGAGAGAGATGTCATTTATGTGTAGAATGGGCAAATAAGATTGAAAATGGAAACAAGTGACCTCCCCCTTACTCACCTGCTTTCTCCTCCCCTTTGCAAGCTGCTGCTGTTGCACTACAAGGCCAGCGCTGATGTGCAAGACAATAACGGCAACACCGCTCTCCACCTGGCTTGCGCTCATGGCCATGAAGACGTAAGTGGTGCTTGCTGCCCCTGGCTGTGTTCACCCTTTCTCTCTCGTGAAGAAATGTGAATTTTAATCAGTTTAGTATAGTGTGCTTTGTGTTGATAATTATTGAACAATTTGGTGTGTAATGTTTTTAATTAAAAAATTTTAAGTTTATTATAGAAGCTATGTTGAAATAACAAACCTGGAACTTAATTGCTCATTATCTGTCATAAAATTAAGTTATTTCCATTCATCCCTGCTACCATCTGACTCTTACCTTTGTTCATATTCAATTTTTATCTTTTACTTTTTTATAGTAATATCAAGGAATTTCATAATTTTCATTTTCACGTAATATTTAACTGTGTTTTATTTTTTCCTAACTATTCTCTCTCCCCCTTCTCTTCATAGTAACATACAAGTAGTTTTATACGTATACTAGAGGCCCAATGCACAAAATTCGTGCAAGAGTAGGCCTTTCTTCCCCCAGCTGCCGGCACTGGCTTCCCTCTGGCATCTGGGACCCGGGCTTCCCTCACAGCCCTGGCTTCATCCAGAAGGTTGTCCGGAAAGATGTCCAGAAGGATGTCCACTCTAATTAGCATATTACGCTCTTATTATAAATAGGGTTGAAGCTGGGTTAGGTGGGTGATGTATGAAAACGAGATCGTACCCTACACATTTTTATGCAACTTGCTTCCCTAACTTAACGATACATTATGGAAATTCTCTAGATCAGTAAATATAGCCTGTCTTTCATCGCTGCAGTCATCAGTTATGTGTGTTGCATCAGTATTCCTAAGACTGCCCATTGATTCAGTGAGTTGTGACAATACCTATGAAATATTATCTACCAGGGCAGCTCATTGCGCCACTCAGGCCACATTTTATTGGAGGCTGGTCATGTACCCTCTGCCTGGCATGTACCAAAATGTCAGACTCCCAGAAGGAAAGCAGGTGTTCAGTATCAACCACATTGTTGTACAACAGGTTGGGCACAGTGAGCCCCTCTTTTCAGGTAGAGGACTTATAGACACCCTAAAATCCAAGCTCCCAAGGAATACTGCAAGTCAAGGGCCAACCTTGCAGTCAGGCCTTTCAAGGAACTGTGGTCTCGGGCCTGCTGTGGTCATTCCTTTCTGCACATGGATACGTCACAATTTATTCAGCCATGTCTAACTGACAGACCTTTGAGTTCTTTGAGAAAGTGAGGTGTCCTGATCGGGTACCCTGGAGCCCTTGGGTTCCCTCTCTGTTACTGTGCAGTTGCTTGGTTAGTGGAGCCTTGATTAAGCTGGGACCTGGATCTAGGCTGTGGAGTGCATGGATGTTGCCTGGGGCTTAGCATATGAGATAATGGTGGCATCTCCCAATTTCTTTGCAGTGTGTGAAGGCTTTGGTCTACTACGATGTGCAGTCATGCAGACTAGATATTGGTAATGAGAAAGGAGACACTCCCCTACACATAGCTGCACGCTGGGGTTACCAGGGCATCATAGAGACGTTGCTACAAAATGGAGCATCCACAGAGATCCAGAACAGAATGAAAGAAACGCCCCTCAAGTGTGCGTTAAACTCAAAGGTAGATTTTTATTTTATTTTTTTTCCGGAAAAGGACTATGACTTTAAAAACAAAATCAGTGTCTACAGATTAGGTCTTGGCTATGCTGGACAAATTGCGTTAGTGCCTGAGGGCAGGACTTGGCCTGTACCCTCTCTGCTGCATTTGGGACCTGGTGGTTAATGGGTTTTTACTTATTTATGTTGTTATGAGTTGTTCTTTGTGTTGTTCTAAGAGCTACTCCCAGCAGACTTTGCCCCAGCCTCTGAGTACTGTTGCCTTATGAGCAAATGGAGTGGGTAAAACGGGAGAGTAACTCTGACTGGCAGAAGTGGGGAAAGGGAGTGGGGCATGGAAGCAGTAAGGGATGTCGCGTCATCTTCAGCTCCTAAAAACCTTATCCTTATCCTGATTTGGCCAATTTTGAGCTTCATTGGGTATTACTTCTTTCAAAAGTGATTTGTTAATGAACTACTCATCCTTTCCTAGGAGTAATGTCTGGGAGCATTCAGTTTTTGACAACATGTAAAAGTGCTCACTTCATGAGTGAGTGGGGAGTGAGGAGTGGGGAGTTTAGAGAAACAATTTCTTTGAACCTCATCTCCCAGCAGGTTGAAGGCATGCCTTCAGCAAAGTGTGGTCGGCCAGCTGGCCAGAGAAAGCCGAGCCATGTGCAGTGGAAGGTCCCAGGTCAGCAGGTTGATGTGTCTAGAACATCACTAATTTGTGGCTCACAGGAATGATTCCATTTTATATATTTTATTTTTTAATCCTCACCTGAGGATATTTTTCATTGATGAGAGAGAGAGAGAGAAAGGGAAGAGAGAAACATCAATTGGTTGTCTCCCGTACACACCCCAACCAGGGATCGAACCTGCAATCTGGGTATATGCCCTGACTGGGAATTAAACTTGCTACCCTTCAGTGCATGGGATAATGCTTTAACCAAAGAGCAATACTGGTCAGGGAAAACGATTCCTTTTTTTGTTGCTGTTATTAATCCTCACCCGAGGATATTTTTCCATTGATTTTTAGGGAGAGTGGAAGAGAGAGGAAAAGACAAAGAGAAACATCAATGTGAGAGAAACACATTGATTGGTTGCCTCCTGCACAAACCCTGACCAGGGCCTGGTCCGGGGAGGAGCCCTGCAACTGAGGTATGTACCCTTGATCGGATCGAACCTGGGACCCTTTGGTCTGCAGGCTGACACTCTATCCACTGAGCCAAACCAGCTAGAGCAAATGATTTGATTTTAATACAAGCCTCCTGTTGTCTCCCTCTGCACAGGCCTTGCTTTCTGCTTCTTGATGTTTTCAGCTTCCTTTTAGTTTCTGACTCTCTTCTAGGGAAGCCTTTCAGTTTATGTCATATTCTAGGAATAGCACAGTTTTTAAACTACTTTATTGAGGTATGATTGACATACAAAGAGCTGTACATATTTCATGTACAGGCACACCTAGGAGATAGCAGGTTTGGTCCCAGACCACTGCAAGAAAGTGAGTCATAAACTTTTTGCTATTGGAGAGTCTTGCCTTCAATTTGTAAAACACACAACATCTATGAAGTGCAATATAGCAAAGCACAATAAGATGAGGTACACCTGTACACAACTTGATGCACTTGGAGATACGTACATACCTGTGAGACCATCACCACAATCTGTGCTATAAACATATCCATCACCTTCAAAAGTTTCCTCTCGTCTTTATTATTATGTTTGTATGTAACAAGAACACTTCACATAAGCTGTACAGTGGCACCGTTTTTGAAGGTGAAATCCCTGCTCCTGACCACTGAGCCATTCTTCCTGTGCACTCACAGGGTCTCTGCTCTGTAGCAGCCACAGCTGATGGACTGGGTGGTGCTACCTGTGGCCTGAGATGCCTGGAGGAGCTGAGGGTTTCTCTGCCCCTGTATCTTCTCCCAAAGGCCCCTTCCTAAGGGAGGTCTCAGAGAGAAGGAGACAACTGCCTGCTTGGGTTTGCTCTGAGCTGCTCGTGATGCCAGTGAAAAGGCCACTATTTATTTCTGTGGACAAATAGCCAGGGGCTAGACGAGGCAGCCTTTGAGGCCCCTTCTGTGGCTTGGCTTCTCTTGTCCTCTGAGCCCATGCATGGGAAGCACCAGCTCCTCTGCCAGGCAGCAGGAGTGTGGTGTGGCAGGAGGAAGCCCAGACTTACTCAGTGTGGTTCTGAGCAAGTTCCACCAGCCGTGGTTTCCCTGTTTCTCCAAGGGTGTGGCTGAGCTGTCTGCTCTTCTGAGAAGATAGGCAGTCAGTGGGGTATTATGGTGATGCTTTAGTGACCCATCTCATTCAGTACTTTGCTTGTCCCCTTTGTCCTCCTAGATTCTGTCTATAATGGAAGCCCGTCACATGTCCTTTGAAAGGAGACAACAGTCTTCAGCAGTAAGTAAACAGGGCGGTAGTCCTTGGCCCTATTTATGACCAGAGCATCCTCTCTGGCCCTCACCTGTCTCTTCTCTTGTCATGCTCCCTTGCTGCAGGTCCCTGTGCCACCCCCTCAACACTTCATGGATTCCATCAGCCAGGGGTCCTCCGCCTCCAGCTTCTCCTCTGTGTCCACCAGCTCCAGAAAAAGGGAACCCAAGAAGGACTACAGAGAGGTGAGGCCCCAGGTGGGAGGAAGGTCTGTGAAGCCCTGTATATGGTTCTGGTTAAAGAGTCAGGGCCTGCCCTAGCTGGCTTGGCTCAGTGGGTAGAGCATCAGCCTGCAGAGTGAAGGGTCCCGGGTTTGATTCCAGGCACGGGCACATGCTCAGGTTGCGGGCTCAATCCCCAGTAGGGGGCATGCAGGAGCGAGCAGATCAATGATTCTCTCTCATCATTGATGTTTCTATATCTCTCCCCCTCTCCCTTCCTCTCTGAAATCAATAAAAATATATTTTTAAAAAAAAGAGTCAGGGCCTGACGAGGGCCACCTAGTTGGCCTGACCACCATAACCAGGTCAGCCTTGTCAGCTGTGGCCAAGGTTGGTGCCTGGAGAGGAGCCCAGATGTTCTCACCTGCTTGCCCTTCATGGTCAGCTCCTTCAGCAGCTCTTTGCTTTGTGGACAATGTGTGTGTGTGAGAAAGAGAATAGCCTAAGAAAAGTATAAGTAAAGTCACCTATAGGTCCACTGACATAAGATCATTTTACAAAGCAAATTTTCTCTGCCCCTACCTCCCACTCCACAAGCACCTCTGTTAGCTTGATGTGGGTCCTTTCTGACTCCTTACAAAGTTTATATAGACACTAGAGGCCCGGTGCACAAAATTCATGCACGGTGGCGGGGAGGGGGGGTGTCCCGCAGCCTGGCCTGCACCCTCCAATCTGGGATCCCTCTCGCAATCCAGGGCCACTGGCTCCTAACCACTCACCTGCCTGCTTGCCTAATGCCCCCAACAGCCCTCCCCTGCCAGCCTGGTCGCTCCCAACAGCCCTCCCCTGCAGGCCTGGTTGCCTCCAACGGCCTTCCCCTGCAGGCCTGCCCCCCCACACACACACACACTGCCCTCCTCTGCCAGCCTGATCTTGCCCCCAACTGCCCTCCCCTGCTGGCCTGGTCACACCCCCAACTGCCCTTTCCTGCCGGCCTGATCATGTCCTCAACACTCCTCCCCTGCTGGACTGATCTCACCCCCAGCTGCCCTACCCTGCCAGCCTGGTCGCCTCCAACTGCCCTCCCCTGCTTGCCTGATCTCCCCCAATCCCCTGCCAGCCTGATCTCACCCCTAACTGCTCTCCCCTGCCAGCCTGATGGCGCCCCTAACAGCCTCTGCCTGGGCCCCCACCACCATTGCTTTGTCCGGAAGGAAGTCAGACGTGCACGTGCGGAAGATGGCTGGTTGACCCGGTCTAATTAGCATATTACCCTTTTATTATGTAGATTTATATACACTCACACATTGCGTCTAGTAAAAGCTGATTTATAGCCTGGGATTTGTTTTTTGCATTTAATCTGTCTTAGAGTTTGCTCAGTGTCAGCCACAGAGTAGACCATAGCATGGATGTGCCACAACTCCTCTGCTCATTCCCCTGTGGGTGGGGACCCTCACTGACCCTACCTAAGACCCCTCCTCCAGTGTTATCCTCAAGCCCTGACCTGCTCGTGGATAACCCAGCAAGCTTGGCTCAATGCAAAGGCACAGCAAAGAAAACCAAGAGGCACTCTCCAGAGTCTAACAGAGACCTGGGATCATCCTTGGGAGGGAGGTCCCCCTTACTAGTATGTACCCTCAGCTAGCAGATAATGAGAGCTGAATATATGTGGTTCTAAAGGTGGCTGACCTAGGGAGTGCTTGTGCTTCAAGGTGGCCCTCATCTCACGCTGCCACATGATAGCAGTGTCATTTTATAGACCTTGCATGGCAGTGGGCTCAGAGCACGTCAGCACCTCCTCGGATGTCTGTCTGAGCAGTTTTAGGGATATGTTTGAAAGCTACTGAATCAAGACTCCAAATTAAGAAACAAATGAAAGCTACTAGGCTTTCAGAAAGGTGGTTTCTTTTCATTTTTTTCTCATTTATTGAGAGAGACAGACAGACAGACAGACATCAATTTGTTGTTCTACTTATTTATGTATTCATGGGTTGATTCGTGTATGTGCCCTGACCGGAGCTTAAACCTGCAACCTTGGCATATTGGGATGATGCTCTAACCAACTGAGCTACCTGTCCAGGGCTTCTTACTTTTATTATTGTTTTATTAAACTTATTTTTCTAACATTCTTTTTTCTTTTATTAAGGTAGAAAAACTTTTAAGAGCAGTTGCTGATGGAGATTTAGAAATGGTGAGTTTGTAGAAGTGCGTTTTACAAAGCTTGCTCTCGGTTCGGTTAGGAGCTGTGTGGCTTTGTTGTTCACTTTCACATAGAAGGTGGTGCACCTAATAAATATTTGGTAATGGCAATGTGACCTTTCCACCACAAACAATGAGGCGAGTGGACATAAAGCTGCACAGTGAGCATGTCCCTGCCTCTTAGACATTCATATTCTGGGAAGGTAGTGAGATGTTGGCAAGAGACTAGCCCGCACCCAGGTCTCAAAGTATGGGCTCAAAGCCTGTCACGTTAGCTGGGAGCAAGGTGAGCACACAGGGTAGTGGGTGAGGAGGGGGTGGTGGAGGCGAGGGCAGAGCTCAGAGAGTGTTAGGGTGGCCCTGCAGAAGTTGGGGACACCTGGGACACCTGGGCCAGGAGGCTGAGGTCTGAGGCAGGAAGAGATTAAACAAGATCTTATATTCATACTAGTAGCCTGGTGCACAAAAATTTGTGCACTGGGGGGGAGGTGTTCCCTCAGTTATTAAACATTTATCGGCACAACACTGACCACATTGGTGGTGGTGGTGGTCTTGTCATAATGTGTTATATTATGCAGATGAAAATCTACTTAAACAGATTTGATGTAGATATTTCCAAAGATGGAAGAATTGTCCCTGTCAACTATTTTAGTTGATTCATATCTTCACTAATTGTCATCATTGCAAAGTTTTCAGTCCCCATATGGATTGCTGGATATAATAGGTCATGCGCTGTCCCTGTCCTTTGTAGCCTTTGTTACCTTAAGAGCTCTAGTTTTCCATTTATATGTTTAAGTACCAACCTTACTGGCTTAAAAATGTAAGCTTTTAACACTGTTCTCCCTGTTCCGTATCCTTCCGATGAAAAGTGGAATTGGGTTGCAGCACAGGAGAGAAATTCAGAAGGGGAATATTGAAGTAATGACTGCAGTAGGAGAAGAGGGAACTTATTTCCCTGGCCACATGTGCTGGCGCCCTGGACCACAGGGCTGGCAGCTTCTCCGGGTGGCTGCAGCCTGGGACCTCAGGCGGGTGGCTTGTCCGTTTCCTGGGCTGCAGCCAGCCGCAGGTGCTGGCACCTGGACCAAAGGTGGGCAGCTTCTTCTTCTGTGCTTCCAGGGAGGGCAGTCAGTTATGTGTATATGTGTGTGCATGCAAACATAGGCGTGTACACGTGTGTATATGGAAATCTGCTGGGCAAGTCAAAACCATAGAAGAGTTGCCCCCTATCTCTTGAATCTTCCAGAGATATCCCCCACTTTTTTATTCTATCACTACTGGAGAGTCAGTATTTGCAGCCAGCCAGCCAGTGACTCTCTCAGTGTCTATTTCTGACTTCTTCTTTCCCTGTCTGTCTTCCAACCCCTAATCATATTTCCACCTGGATGCATCATTTTTACTCCCAATATGCTGTATAGAGAAGGAGTCAGGATGCTGTCTTCCCATGAATAGTACTCAGTAACAAACCAATTGCATTTTAGTTGGGCAATGCCCCTACCTACCCTTCAAATCCCTCCCACCATGCATTTCTGTTTCCCTTTTTGTTTGTTGGATTGTTCTGCTGCTCCTTCTCCTCACTCCACCACCCTTGGATCGTAATGTAAAATTCTTTTACCATGTCAAGAAATTATTAAAAATACAGGTACTTCTCCGAACACCGGCCGGGGGGCTGGCAAAGGTGGCCCCGGTTCTCCAATCACGGGCCGCCTGGGTTTCCGATCACTGTCAGCAGCAGGCGGCTTCTTCCGTCCTTCCCCTTTCGCCTCCCAGCATTGCACCTACATATGCAAATTAACCACCATCTTTGTTGGCAGTTAATTTGCATATTGCCCTGATTAGCTCATGGGAAGCGTAGTGAAGGTACGATCAATTACCATGTTTGTCTATTATTAGATAGGACTAGAGGCCCGGTGCATGAATTCATGCATGGGTGGGGTCCTTCAGCCTGGCCAGTGATTGGGGCCATCTTGCTCAGTTCCAATCAGGGCCAATCGGGGCTGGCTGGCCAGGGGGAGGGACCGTGGGAGTTGGCCAGCCACAGGAGGTTGGCTGTGGGAGCGCACTGTCAACCAGGGGGCAACTCCTGTGTTGAGCATCTGCCCCCTGGTGATCATTGCACATCATAGCAATTGGTCGTTCTCGTCATTCTACCATAATGTTTGCCTAGGCCCGTGGTTGGCAAACTGCGGCTCGCGAGCCACATGCGACTCTTTGGCCCCTTGAGTGTGGCTCTTCCTAAGCCTTAGGAGTACCCTAATTAAGTTAATAACAGTGTACCTACCTATATAGTTTAAGTTTAGAAAATTTGGCTCTCAAAAGAAATTCCAAGCGTTGTACTGTTAATATTTGGCTCTGTTGACTAATGAGTTTGCCAAACACTGGCCTAGGCTTTTGTTATATAAATAGGCATTACCTATGGACACAGACAATAGGGTGGTGAAGGCCTGGAGCAAGGCGGGAACCAGGTGGAGGGGCAATGGGGGGGAAAGAGGATATCTGTAATACTCTCAACAATAAAGATATTTTTTAAAGATAAATAAATAAATAAGAAAACAAAGCTAGAAGAAAAGAATCTCTAACACAAGCTACAGAAACAGTAGCTTAATCTCTCTATAGCAGCATGAAAGGGTTTAGAACGGCTTGAGCACATGTGACCCCTGGAATCTTTGTGAGCAGCACCTGTCATTTTTTAGTGACTGTGGCCCTGATTTGGGAACAGTTAGAGAGTTTAAGGTACTATATCTTGTAAAAGAGCTAAGGATGAGATTTAAGTTCCTATTTCTCTTTACTGTACAACCTCAGGTGCGTTACCTTTTGGAGTGGACAGAGGAGGACCTGGAGGATGTGGAGGATGCTGTCAGTGCTGCAGATCTTGAATTTTGTCACCCCTTGTGCCAATGCCCAAAATGTGCTCCAGCTCAAAAGGTTTGGCGTTGCTTCTGTTGATGAGGATGGTGATAGGAGGGAACATTCTTCTTTGTCCCCTTGAAAACGATGTCTGCTTCTCAGCCAGCTAATTTCTGAGTGGCTGGTAGTGGGTATCCCTGAGATGTGGTGGGGTTAGTTAGCTCAGGGCAGAGAGAAGCTGGCGCCAGTACAGGATCTGGCTTGGGCTGCCTGCTTCCTGAACAGGCAGATCAGTGAGCAGGGACATCCACATGTGCTCTCTGGGCCCCTGAGTCATAGGCAAGAGTTTACAAATAGACACGCCTGAGGGCCTCTGTCCATGTGGCCGCATTCCCCCTGGGGAGGCTGCACTTGAGGCCCATTGCCACTACCATTGCTCACGTTGGTACTTCCTCTGTGGCAGACACGTCCCCTGTACAATCCAGTTTCCCCTAATGGTAACAGCTTGCAAAACCATAGACACATACAATCCTTCAATTTATTGAGATATCCCATTTACCTGTGCTCGTCTGTGTGTGTGTGTGTGTGTGTGTGTGTGTGTGTGTGTGTGTGTAGTTCTATCCAGTTTTATCACATATGTGGCTTTGTGTACCCACCACCACATTCAAGGTACAGAATAGTTCACTCACCACGAGAAGAATCACTCACGTTGCCCTTTTACAACAACACCCACCTCTCTCTGTCACCCCCACCCCACCACCCACTAATCTGTTCTCCACTTCAAAAATGTTATATACGTAATCATACAGCACGTAACCTTTGAGGATTGGCTTTGTTCTCTAGCATGATTCCAAGTTGTTGCATGTAGTTAACAGTTTATTTCTTTATTGTTGAGCAGTATTTCATGGTTGTATGTGCCAGTTGGTGTAACCACTCTCCTACTGAAGGACATGTTGCTTGTTTCTAGATGTGGGAAATTACAAATAAAGCTGCTATGTACATTTGTGTACAAGTTTTTGTAAGAACATAACATAGTTTTCTTTCTCTAAGGTAAATGCCCAAGAGTACAATTGCTGACTCATGTGATAATTACATGTTAATTCTATGGTTAGTTTTGTGAAGAACTGACAGACTTTTCCAGGCTGGTTGTACATTTTACATTCCCACCAGCAATCTATGAGTGATGCAATTTCTCTGCATCCTCACCAGCTTGTGTTGTCACTATTAGTTATTTTAGCCATTCGAATAAGTGTGTAACACTATCTCATTGGGTTGCAGTTTGCTTTCCCTACTGGGTGATGACATTGAACCTCTCTTCCTGTGCTTATTTGCCATCTGTATCTATTCTTCAGTGAAATGTCTGTTCATTTGCTTTGCCCACTTTGTTAGTCGTTTCTTTCTTTAAAAAAAATGTTTTTATTGATTCTAGAGAGAGACATCAATTTGTTGTTCTACCTATTTATGTATTCACTGGTTGATTTTTTTAAAATATATTTTTATTGATTTCAGAGAGGAAGGGAGAGGGAAAGAGAGATAGAAATATCAATGATGAGAGAATCATTGATTGGCTGCCTCCTGAACGCCCCCTACTAGGGATCAAGCCTACAACTCGGGCATGTGCCCTAGACTGGAATCAAACCCAGGATTCTTCAGTCCACAGGTCAACGCTCTAACCACTGAGCAAACCCAGCTAGGGCTTATTGGTTGATTCTTGTATGTACCCTGACCAGGGATCAAACCCACAGCCTTGGCATATCGGGACGACACTCTAACCAACTGAGCTACTGGGCCGGGCTGTTGTATGTGTGTGTGGTGTTGTGGTGTTGTTTTTTTTACTGTTGAGTTTTCAGAGTTCTTTATTTATTCTGGATTCCAGCTCTTTGTCAGATATGTGGTTTGCAAATATTTTCTTTTGATCTATAGTTTGCCTGTAGCTTCTTCACATGGGTTTTCACAGAGCAGGTTTCTAATTTAGAAGTCCAGTTTATCAGTTTTTCCTTTTATGGATTGTGCTTTTGTGGTCAAATGTAAGAACACTGTGCTTAGCCCTAGATTTCAAAGATTCTCTCCTTTTGTTTTTCCTAAAAGTTTTATAATATTACATTTAACAGTTAAGTCCCTGATCCAGTTAAATTTTGTACAGGGTGTGAGTTTTAGGTTGCAGTTTATTTTTTGCCTGCAGATGTCCACTTGCTCCCGCACCATTTGTTGAAAGGCCATCCTTCCTCCACCAACTTGCTTTTTGGACCTCAGTGGACTGTGTATGGTGTGGGTCTATCCCTGAGCTCGCTATTCTGTCCCACTGATCTGTGGGAGCCACACAGGGCCACACAGTCTTGATTATTGCAACTGATAGTAAGACATAATATTGAGTAGAATGATTCTCCCTAATTTATTCTCCTTTGCCAGGATTGTTTTAGCTATTCTAGGGCCTGTGCCTTTTCCTATAAACTATAAGCTTGTCTATGTCTACAAAAAAAACCTTGCTAGAATTTTTATAGGAATTGCATTAAAACTGTAGATCAATTTGAAAAGAAATAGCATATTTACTATGTTGAGTCTTCATGAACATGGTATATCTTACTATATTTAGGCCTTCTTTGATTTCTTCATCAACATTTTGTGATTTTCAGCATAACAGATCCTGTCCATTTTGTTAAATGTATACCTAAGTATTTTCTTTTCTTTTGTGTAATTATAAATAGCATCATGTACATAGTATGCACTCGTGTGCTAGCTCTCTACCTCAAGGTGTGTTCCATACTAAGAAAATTAATTTGACTTTACAAAACAGATATAGTGGTGTTATACTTCCTATTGTGAGAGTATACTACCTTATTTAAAAAGCTTTACCATGGGTTTCTCTAACCTAAGAATACTGAAATGACTATGTTTTTCATTCACGAGTAGCTTTTCAGCGGCAGGTTAATGTGTACATTAGACTATGCAGCTTTTGCTCTGTTCCCATGGTGCCGGATGTGTCCAGTCCAAAAACGTGTTCCCCCTAGATGGGTGGCTATGAAAAAAATAGGGATAAAAAGGCAACTGATGTTTCAAAAGATATGAAGTAACAAAACCCCCAGGTCCAGTCAGTGAGTCTTTGCAGCTAGAAGCAGTTATTCCATCTCTCTTCTTTTCTTATGTTTCTATACTCTCTTCTTCACCTCAGTTCATTAGCTGTAACAAGATGCTTAAAACACATTACAATATCTGTTGAATTTATTGGATTAAAGCCTTCTGTTGGCCCTGACCAGTGTGGCTCAATTGGTTGGAGCGTCATCCTGTGTACCAAAGTGTCTTGGGTTCAATTACTGGTCAGGGTACATACCCAGGTTACGGGTTTGATCCCTGGTCTGGGTGCTAGGGGAAGCAACTGATCGATGTATTTCTCTCTCTCCCTCTCCTTTCCTCTCTCTCTAAAATCAATAAAAAAACCAACAGACCCCCAAAAAGCCTTATGTTCCCTGTTCATTTAAAAACTCTTATCTTTTCCTCTTTTTGTAAGTTCTCAAAAAAGCACAAAAATTGCTTCATGTCTGTAATTAAATTAAAACTTCCCCCCAACCCCATTCTCTTCTATCCCACTGGTGTATATAGAGTTTTTAAAAACTCTTTATTGAAGTATAACTTACATACTATAAAGTACAGTAAGTCCTCAAATAATATCCTATATAATAAAGAGGTAATATGCAAATTGACCATCACACCCTCACACAAAAGATGGCCGCCCCATGTGGTCACAAGATGGCCAGCAGGGGAGAGCAGTTGTGGGCGATCAGGCCAGCAAGGGAGGGCAGTTAGGGGCGACCAGGCCTGCAGGGGAGGGCAGTTGGGGGGGACTGGGCTGGCAGGGGAGGGCAGTTGGAGGCCAACGGCAGGCAGGGGAGCAGTTAGGTGTCAATCAGGCCAGCAGGGGAGTGGTTAGGGGGTGATCAGGCTGGCAGGCAGAAGCCATTAGGGGCAATCAGGCAGGCAGGCAAGCAGTTGGGAGCCAGCAGTCCCGGATTGTGAGAGGGATGTCCCAGATTGGAGAGGCAGGCTAGGCTGAGGGCCCCCCACCCCCCCACCCCACCCCCAGTGCACAAATTTCGTGCACCAGGTCTCTAGTCTATAATAATAAAAGGGTAATATGCTAATTAGACCTGACAGCCGAATGATCTTCTGGACGTCCAGACATCCTTCCTGACAAAGCTGGGGCCCGAGGGAAGCCAGCCGGGGTCCTGGATGCCAGAGGGAAGCCTGTGCTGGCAGCCAGGGGAAGGAAGGCCTACTCGTGCATGAATTATCATGCATCGGGCCTCTAGTTTCAATATAATGCTGATGAGATGCTACAGGGACTTAACTCTTTATATCAATTAGCCGATAGTAAAATTGGTTTTGTTATGCGTCATTTTGCTTAAAGTCACAGAGCCTATCGATGTTAAGTGAGGACTTACTATCCATGTAAAGAATACAGTTTGGTGAGTTCCTACAGATGTATGCACCCATGAAGCCATCACCACAATCAAGATACAGAGCATCCACATCACCACCAGAGTTCCTCATGCCGTGTGCAGCTCTGCCCTTCCTCCCTGTCCCCAGCACGGATAATTTGTCAGATGTACCATTGATCTGCTTTCTGTCATTACAAACTCATCAGCATTTTCTAGAATTGTGCATGAATGGAACTGTACAGTACACACCCTTTTGAGTCTGGCTTTCTTTGCTCAGCAGAATGTTTTTGAGATCCATGCTGCATTACTAGCCCATTTATTTTTATTGCTGGGTAGCATTTTGTTGAATATACCATAATTTGTTTATTTAATCACCTGTATACATTTAATATGTTTTTATTGATGTTTTAGAGAAATAGAGAGGGAGAGAGATAGAAACATCAGATGAGAGAAGCATCGATCGGCTGCCTCCTGCATGCCCCCTAGTGGGAATCAAGCCCACAAACCTGGCATGTTCCCTGACCAGGAGTCAACCAGTGACCTGGTGCATGGGACAATGCTCAATCCACTGAGCCACACCGCCTGGGTAGTAGTTGCCTGTTTTTGGCTTGGTGAATAAAACTACTGTGAATGTTTATGTACAAGTCTTTGTATAAAAATGTTTACATGACTAAATACCTAGGAGTATAATTGCTGGGTCATAGATTTAAGTGTATGTTGTACTTTATAAGAAACAGCCAGTTTTCCATAGTAATTATAGCATTTTCCATTCCAACCAGTAGCGTGTGAGAATTCTAGTTGCCCCACATTCTTGTCAGCACTTGGTATTTTGATTTTTTAACTTTAGCCATCATCCTACAGTTAAGTGTGCAGGAGTATTTCATTGTTTTTCCCACCTACTTAATTTTTTTTTTTTATTTCAGAGAGGAAGGGAGAGGGAGAGAGAGGAACATCAATGATGAGAGAGAATCACTGATTGGCTGCCTCCTGAATGCACCACACTGGGGATTGAGCCTGCAACCCAGGCATGTGCCCTGACCTAGAATTGAACTGTGACCTCCTGGTTCATAGGTCGATGCTCAACCACTGAGCCATGCCAGCTGGGCAGACAATGACATTTTTAATCATCAGAAAGTGAACTAGTTTACTTTTTGATGATTAAACCAGTTTTAATCCTTACCAGTTACAGAAAATAGTGACTAATTAATTCTACTATCAAAATAAATGATTCAGCATTACTATTTGTTTGTTTTTAGTTATATGGTTTATAAATCAGGGAGATTTTTTTTACCCTTTTAAGTATTGATTTACTTTTCTACATGCACATGATTTATTTTAAAACCACTGTGAATAATAAGGTAGTTTCATGATAAAAATGAAGGTGAACTATAGAGGTAAGTAGCAGACAATTTGATGAGGTTTGACAAGTTAATTCAAGGTCTTATAACCTCCAGCAGCACAGTGAAGATACAGACTATGTCTATCACCCCAAAACAACCTCTCCTGCCCCTCTGTAGTTATCCCCCTTCCCTGCCCCATTTCAACAATCAGCAATCTGTTTTCTGACCCTTTGGTTCTGTCCTTCCTGATTTTGACTTGCATTTCCCTGATAACTAAAGATGTTATTTTATGTGCTTATTGGCTGACCATTCACCTTTTCAAATCTTTTGCTATTAAAAGTTAGCCCAGGTGGCGTGGCTCAGTGGTTTAGGGTCGACCTATGAACCAGGAGGTCACTGTTTGATTCTCAGTCAGGGCACATGCCCGAGTTGCAAGCTCGATCCCCAGTGTGGGATGTGCAGGAGGCAGTCAATCAGTGATTCTCTGTCATCATTGATGCTTCTACCTCTCTCCCTCCCCCTTCCTTTCTAAAATCAATAAAAGAATTTTTTTTTTTTAAATAAAAATAGCCCAACCAGTGTGGCTCAGTGGTTGAGCATCGACCTATGAACCAGGAGGTCAGCGTTCAATTCCCGGTCAGGGCATATGCCTGGGTTATGGGCTCAATCCCCATTATGGGGTGTGCAGGAGGCAGCCAATCAGTGATTCTCATCATTGGTGTTTTTATTTCTCTCTCCCTCTCCCTTCCTCTCTGAAGTCAATAAAAATATATTTTTTAAAATAATAATAAAAATTAGATTATGTTATTGAGTTGTAAGAGTTTGGTTTTTGTTTTTCAATTCTGCTTGGCCCTTTTTCAGGTATACATATCACAAACATTTTCTCTTATTTGGTGATTTGGGTTTTTTTTGAGAATTTTCATAAGAGTCTATTTGAGCCAAACTGGCAACCTAAGCTGGAGAGTAAGATCTCAAATTTTCATGCCTTTTGATTTTCTTTTTTGTCAATATTTCATTGGAATGTAATTCTTCATAATTTATTAATATAATGTATAAAATATTTCACATAATGAGCAGTTAACTATTTACAAATATTCCATTCTCCCAGAAATGATGGGAGCTAGTTTAACCGAGTTCAGTAAATATGAAAATTAAGCTCAGGAAAAAATGATGCTGATTCCTTTGTGAAGTTTTCCTCCCTTTAGCCTAATTCGTCTCAATGTGTCAACACATCTCTAGAGAGACAGTAAGTTTTAGAGGTCTGTCTTGGACTCTGGAGTTGAACAGGGTTTGAATATTAGATCTTCCATTTACGCACTTTTTTACTTTGGACGAGTTACTTAACATCTCAGGTCTCAGTTTCTTTATCTTCTTGTGAGCTCCAGTAAACATTTAAGAGGCTTTTAAAATGTATTTCACGTGGCATTTTTGTAACAAGAGGATTTTCAAGTTGTCTATTCCATAAAATTGCCACAATCAGATTCTCTCTGTTTGGTCTCTTCATCAATATGAATGTATTGGCTGTAACTTTTTAATCTGATGAAATCAACCTTCATAGGGACAAATCTATCTGAATTTCGGCTGATGTCCTTAAGGTTCTACAAGATCAGCACAGAACCTGTAACCTTTTTAAGCACACACAGACCCAAATGTCACAGTATCCTGTGTCTTTTTTATAACATCCTTGTCAGCTGCTCAGCTCTGTCCACAATGATGCCATGAGGTATGAGGACATACTCCCATCTCCATAATAATACTGCGGGCGTGTGAGGAAGTTCAAGGCGCACCCTGGCCAGTCGACCACAGTCACTATGCCTTGCCCATAATCTGGTGCTTCCTCGCTGCTCGTGGCCAGGTTTCTACCAGGGAAAGCGGGAAGGTTCCTTTTCTTAATTGTCTTTCAGAGAGCATAGATTTACAATTTCTAAACCTAGTTTATCGAGGTTTTCTTTTATGTTTTTGCTTTTTGTCTTATCTAAGAAATCATTGCTTATCCCAATGTTGGAAAGATTTTCTTCTGTGTTCTCTTCAAGTTTTATAGTTGTAGCATTTACATTTAGATCTGTGATGCATTTTAACTTTTGTGTTTGGTGTAAGATAAGGATTGACAGGCAGTTTTTCCACATATGGATACCCAGTTGTTCCAGCGTCATCTGTTGAGCAGACTTTTTCTTCCATTGGCATAATAAGGTACTATTTTAGGGGTTGCTTTCTTGAAAAATAGAATTAATCCTTTGACTCTCATATCTTTTTTAAGTAGTTAGGATGGCCCTCAGTGGTCACTCAGTGGTTAGAACGTCGCCTCATGGACTGAAGGGTCGCAGGATTGACTTTGGTCAAGGGCACATACCTTGTTTGTAGGCTTGATCTGGGGCACGTGCGGGAGGCAACCAATCAATGTGTCTCACATCGATGTTTCTCTGTCTGTGTCTCTCCCCCTTCCTTCCACTCTAAAAATCAATGGGAAAATATCCTCAAGTGAGGATTCACAAAACATAAAATAAATAAATGAAGTAGTGGGGATTCACCTGTGGGTAACCTGGTTCTGGATGCAACCGTGACCTTGAATTTGCTGAGGGGCTGTGAGGGGCAGATGGCTTTGGTTTCTTAAATACGAATGACATTCTGTTTGTGTCTTCTGCACCTGTAGAAGCTGGCAAAGGTTCCTGCCAGTGGGCTTGGTGTGAATGTGACCCACCAGGACGGCTCCTCCCCACTGCACGTTGCTGCCCTGCATGGTCGGGCGGACCTCATCCCCCTCCTTTTGAAGCATGGTGCCAATGTGGCTGCCAGAAACGCCAACCAAGCTGTCCCACTCCACCTGGCCTGCCAACAAGGCCACTTTCAGGTACAGGTTGTCTCGGGCAGAGTGTTAGGGTGTTTGCTTGTGCTTAGAACAGGGGTGGGAACCTTTTTTCTGCCATGGACCATTTGGATGTTTACAACATCATTCACGGGCCATCCAAATTTGTCAGTTTAAAAATTAGCCTACTGTATTGGTCAAACATTTTAATAACTCACCCTTAAAGCTTTGGCAAGGCCAGACCAAATGATTTTACAGGCCTTCCACAGCCCTCGGGCCAGATGTCCCCACCCTTGGCTTAGAGCCTCACTTGGGAATGCTCCTAGGGACAGGGGTTTGACATGTGCCTCAAAGGACCGGCACCCTTCCTTCCTCCCAGCCCGAGATTCTGAGGTGCACATGGATGGACCACTAGCAACAGAACACAGAATCTGATGCTCCTGGGTGGAGCCAGCCCCTTCCCATTGCCCTCCCAGCATTCTGGCCTGACCAGCTCTCTGGTGCTTGGGTGTTGGTCCTCCAAGGTTCCTGCTGCATGTTAGCGCCTTGACTTTCCCACAGCGCTTGGTCAATGCTAAACAGCTCAGCACTTTATAAAGTAGAGTACAGCCCTGGCCAGCATTCTCAGTTGTTAGAGCATCAGCCTGCACACTGAAGGGTTGAGGGTTCGATTCCCAGTCAAGGGCTCTTACCTGGGTTGCGGGTTCAATCCCCAGCCCTGGCAGGGGGCATGCAGGAGGCAACCAATCAATGTGTCTCTCACGTAGCTGTTTCTCTCACTTGTTCACGCTCTCTCTCCATCCTTCCCCTTTCCCTCCCTCCCTCCCTTTCACTGTCTCTAAAAGTCAGTGGAAAAAATACCCTCTGATGAGAATTAACAACAAATAATAATAGCCTGGCTGGTGTGGCTCTGTGGCTGAATGTCATCCCATGCACCAAGAGGTAACCAGTGCTATTCCTGGTCAGGGCACATGCCTGGGCTATGGGCTCAATCCCCAGGGATGGGGGGTGCAGGAGGCAGCTCATCAATGTTTCTCTCTTGTTGATGTTTCTATCTCTCTCCCTCTCCTTCTCTCTCTAAAATCTATAAATGAATAAATGAAATTTTAAAATTATAGTAAGTAGAGTACAGCCCTCTAGAGGAGGGCCAAGAGATGACTGTGGGATGACTTACTTTTTTAGAGTCCCATTTTTTGTCTTGAAAATTATATTATTTCATTTTCCCTTATTCTAATGTAAGCATTTTATTTATTTTTCTTTAAATATATTTTATTGATTTTTTACAGAGAGGAAGGGAGAGAGATAGAGAGCTAGAAACATCGATCAGCCGCCTCCTGCACATCTCCCACTGGGGATGTGCCCGCAACCCAGGCACATGCCCTTGACCGGAATCGAACCTGGGACCCTTCAGTCCGCAGGCCGACACTCTATCCACTGAGCCAAACCGGTTTCGGCTAATGTAAGCATTTTAAAGTCAGGAACCATATTTCAGGTCTCCCACCTCTCTCCTAACATCTCACGTAGTGCTTCAAGCATCAGCTTCCTCACCTGTAAAACTGGAGTAATAATTCCAGCTCTTTGTGGGGTAGATCAAATGATTAAATGAAGAAACAAGTGCCTGGCACACAGTCAGCCCTCAGCAGATGTTAATCCCACCCCCCCACCCCCCTTTCAGCTGGTCTGTTTTCTCCCGGTCTAAAGAACCTGCTAGATAAACTTAGAGAAAAGTAGATAAACTTAGAGAAGAGTCAAAAGAATATCAAGCCACAGGATTTCTCCCGGACAATTTTAATTAAAAATTGTTCTTCTCTGGGCTAGGTGGTGAAGTATCTATTAGATTCCAATGCAAAGCCCAATAAAAAAGATGTAAGTGGAAACACACCCCTCATGTACGCCTGTTCCAGTGGCCACCATGAAGTCGCAGCACTGTTGCTACAGGTAAGGGCCCCACAGCCCAGGAGCTGCTGGCACTGGTCAGTGATGGCATCTCGTCACTTGGTGAGACCCTGGCCATGCCCTGCAGATGGGCAGAGCTTGCCCTTTGCTTTAAGCTGCCCCTGGGAGAGAAGCTTTGCATGAAATTTCCATACAGTGGTTCTCCGCGTCTGCCAGGATGCAGAGTTCAGGACACACACTGCTTTTGCTGAAGGTTTAGATCTTGCCTTCTTTACCTGTAGGGTAGATTGAATTGTATTGGGTTAAGTTGAACTGTTACCTTTAGTGTGAGCTGAATGTCCTTTGTCCCTTTTTATTTTCTGGTCAAGGGCACGTACCTCAGTTGCAGGCTCCACCACTGAGCCGAGTGCGGGAGGCAATCAATCAGTGTGTCTTGTCTCTCTCACATCAGTGTTTCTCTCTCTCTCTCCCCATCTCCCTTCCACTCTATCTAAAAGCAATGGAAAAATATCCTTGGATGAGGATTTTAAAAAAAAGAAAATGTGCATAATTTAGAACAGTCTTGTTTTCTATCTTACTTATTTTCGCTTACGGTAGAAAGTTGTTTATTAAAACCTCAAATTTTAATGGTTGCATAACTATGGATGTACCATAGAGTGTTTGTTTAACTGTTCCTGCTTTAAATGACTTCTATTTTTTTTCTGCCATAATGATAGATGGCTGCAATGAATATCTGTGCACATGTTTTTTCTCAGTATTACTTTAACCCCAACATTTTAAGAGAAATTTCAGACATACAGAAAAGTTGAAAGAATTTTATAGTGAACACCCATCTAGATTCTGCATTAATATCGTCTTCAGCATTCCTTCTGATTGTGCTGCTTCTTTCTAGCACGGGGCCTCCATTAATGCCTCTAACAATAAGGGCAACACAGCCCTGCATGAGGCTGTGATAGAGAAGCATGTCTTCGTCGTGGAGCTGCTGCTGCTACACGGAGCATCGGTCCAGCTCTTGAACAAGAGGCAGTGCACAGCTATAGACTATGCTGAGCAGGTGAGTGGGAGGGCACCCAGCTGCCTCCCAGCTCACTTCGGATAAGCCTGTGTGTGAACCAGACCTGAAATGGCAGACCTTTGAATGGCTAGGCCTGAAGTCTGCCAGGAGTCTGCCAATATGGTGAACTTGGTCACCTGGTCAGAAGGGGGCTGCTTGGGATCCAGGAGTCAGTCCTTCAGGGGCGTGTCTTCAAAGGCCTGAGTAGAGGTGCTCCTCTCACCAACCGCAGGTCTGGGCCCTAGTCTGGCTCCCTGACGAGCAGTCAGGTCCTCACAGAGAAGTAGCAAGTTTAGACAGCATTCTGGTTCCCCCGTCCCTGCATTGGAAATACACCTGTGGTCTTAGCAGCACGATGGAGGAAGTTTGTTGTGTTGGTGGCTTTAAAAGTCCTTGAATTCTGCTGGAGAATTGGGGTGGCCCAGTACCACTCCCAGTGCTGCCATGTTTACCATGGAGAAGTGGGAGAAGATAGCTCTTTACTGTTCCTGCTTTCATGTTGAATCTTCATCTAGTTTCCCACTTGGGGTAGACAACTAGTAGACTGTTCAATGACACTACCAACATGTTAAAGTCATAGAAAGCCAACATACTCATAGGCTTATTAAATTAATTTTTACGTTTTAGACATTTCTTAACAGTATTGAAATATTTTAAATTTTTAGTTTAGCACTTTCTCAAACATTCTGATGAACGTTTCTACTGAGGACTTCCCATGTGCTGGGCCCTGGACAGCCTCTTGATGACTCTAAAATTATAGATCCTGTTGTTGTCAGCCCAATTGCACAGAGCGGCGCAGTGCCCAGTCCTGAGCGCCTAGCAGAGGGCAGAGCCAGGCTCCAAGTGAGGGCTGCTCTTTCACTCATGGCCTCAGAGTTTCATCTGCAGTTGCTTCTTAGCGCTTCTGTCCAGCTATCCTAATGCCGACATTTACATCAAAGACAGGCAATTAACTGCTGAAAAAGAATAAAAATATCACTGCTAACTTTTCCCTTTCAAATTACAGAATTCAAAAATAATGGAATTACTCCAGGTCGTACCGAGCTGTGTGGCCACGTTAGATGGTGCTGGCGAAACAGACCACAAGGAGCACGTTACCGTTAAGATCAGGAGAAAATGTAAGAGCTTCTGTTCTCTGTGATTCTCAGCTTGGGCTTTTCTGGAAGTTCACGGGTAGCTGCTGGTTTTCATTTCATTGTAAACGTACAATGTAGTTATAATCCTGAGGGGAGATTAGGCACCAAAGAAACATATGTTACATCCTGATGTCCCAGATATTTCCATGCCAGTGTTCTGGTTGGTTGTGATGACGAATCTTAGCATTGCCTTGCAGGGCCTCCACTCCCCAACTTGAGAGGAGGAACAACCTCGTCTAGTTTCTTTCATGTCTCGTGTTCCAAAGCCAGTCCTTTTTCTAGGCATTTCCTGAACATCAGGGTAAATGCGACCTTTAAATAAATTTTTGGTTGATGGTAATTAGAACAGCATTCACCAGATAGGGCTGAAGTATTTTCTTCCCCGCCCTTTTTTTTTTAAGTTGTTAGCGTTTAGATGTTTTGGTTTTTTTTAATTGCAACGAGTTTGATGCAATAATGTTAATAAACCCACATACGTATCTGAATAATCCCAAGGCTATCTAAGGGCTGTGGCGAGGGAGTATTAGTGTATTAAGGATTTATCTTTGTTTCATGGGGGTTCACAGAGTAATAAATATGTTTCTTGAAGCACATGCAGTGCTTAATTTTCAAAATGTTAAAGAAAGAAAATTGAAAGGTTGTATCTATGCTATAATTTTTAAAAAATTCTTAAACTATTTGGAAGTTTTCACATGTTTATCCTTTTATTTGCAGGGAACTCAAAAATGTATAATCTACAAGATGAACCTTTTACAAGACAGTTTTACTTTGTCCACTCAGTCAGTCAGTTTAAGTGAGTATAAAATTTGAGTTGATGTCTGTGCTTTTGACCCTACCTTTACTGAAAACAGAAGCATTATGTACAGCTTGAATGGGTTATAGACAAATATGCTCTCATCAAATGCTGCCACCTTTTGGCCAACCACAGTGTTTTGCACCACTATGTCAAACTTAAATTACTTTGTTTTGGATTTCAGGGGAAGGACTTCAGGGGAGATTATGGCAAGAGATAAAAGTGTCCCTAATTTCCCTGAAGAATCTTTACATGAGGTGAGTTATTAAACACTGGGTTATAATCATATTTTTTAAAGCTTGGCTTTTTCAAAACTAATTCATGGTAAACATATTTCTCATTTCATTATTCCCCTCACTATACAAGTTAATAACAAAACGAGCTCTTTAGTGGCACGGTCAAGAGTATAGACGCCATTTATTGTTATATTTAACAATGCATTTCTGAACTAAGAAAGGAAAGTGAAGAAAAAGTGGAAAATAGTTATATGCATGGAAAGACATTGCAGTTCATGGGGTGCATTACTTTGTGAAATATCTCAGCTTTCACTAAGCAAATTTGCTAATATGCTAATCACTAACATAAAGAAACTAAGTTTGTATATAAATGGGTAAAAAAAACTTCTCTCAATATGATGTAAAGTTGCTCATATAGACAATTCTGCATGTGACCATCTTCCTACAGCACTATTTAGTCATTCAGTTATAAAAAGAAGCCTGCTTTACATTCTGTAGTGCTATTAGGTGACTCTCCTCATAAACATGACTTTTCTCACTGCTACTTGCCAATGTAATATGTGGCTATTGGTGAAAATTTGAATTTATAGCATAGGCTTGTTGAGACAAATATACAAATCTTCTCAATCTTTGCTTTAGTGAATTAGTGATTTTGTTCACATGACTAATTTTTATTTCATATTTAATCTTTCATGGTTTTGCTAATAGACCTGCTGGGTGGGAAACCAGCAACGTTTGAAATCTGCTTGGGTTCAATCACGTGCTAGCTTTTCCCTTGCTAGCTATGGGACTTTAGGCAGATTGCTTCACTTTGCTGATCCTGTTTCCTCAGTTGTAGAATGTGGGTAACAATAGCGCACACTTGTTAGAATTGTTAAGTGTGAAAACACGTAAAACATTTATGCTGTGTTTAACACATGGAACATGTACATGTCAGACTATCACCACAGGGATGTTAGAGTTGAAATTATGCCTGGCCCAGCCTGGTGTTGTTCAGTGGTTAGAATATCAGCCTTCACACCATTGGGTCTCGCATTTGATTCCTGGTCAAGGGCACGTACCTGGGTGGCTGGTTTTCATGGCCCCAGTACAGCCCCATTGGTCAGGGCACATGCGGGGAAAGCGTGCAGGAAGCAACCAATCAATGTGTCTCCCTCACATTTCTCTCTCTCTCTCTCTCTCTCTCTCTCTCTCTCTCTCTCTCTCTCTCTCTCTCTCTCCCCCCCCCCTCCTCCTCCCTCCCTCCCTCCCTTCCCTCTCCCCCTCCTTTCCTCCCTCCTCCTCCTCCTTTCCTCTCTTCCACTCACACTAAAAAGCAATGGAGCCTGGCCAGCCAGCATGGCTCAGTGGTTGAACATCATCACAGTTCGATTCCCGGTCAGGGCACATGCCTGGGTTGTGGGTTGAGTCCCCAGTAGGGGGTATGCAGAAGGCAGCCTATCAATGATTCTCCCTCACCATTGATGTTTCTCTCTCTCTCTCTGTCTCCCTTCTTCTCTGAAATCAATAAAAAATATTTTTAAAAATAGCAATGGGAAAAATATCTTCAGGTGAGGATTTAAAAAAAATTATGTCTGGAAAGTACTGAGCACATATAAGCTCTCAAAGGTAGCTGTTACTGTCATGGTGGTTGTTTAAAGTACGGTGCCTATGCAAATTGTTCAAATTGTACTTTCTCTTTAGCCAGGAAGGCAAAAAGTCACACAGAAGCAGAAGAACCTATCAGACCAGAGCACATCGCAGACTGCTGACAAAGGAGACGGTGACCAGCCCGAGGCCTGGGCTGAAACAAACTGCTCCTGGGAACATGCAAATGCTCCGGAGACACACTGTCAAGGACACAGCTGCACCGAAGGCCCACCGACTGCTGACAACCCAGCCACTCCCCACCAGGCTAGCATTTCCCAGTCTTGATAGTAAATAAGGAATTAAATTTGCTATCAAGAAGTGAGTCCTTAACAAGAAGATGCCGAGCATGAATACAGACAACATAGAACTAAATGTACTTTCTGTTTGGCTTGAGAGAAAGCAGAAAGTTCCTGAAAGCTTTCCTATGGCCCAAAGAATACAACAAAGAAAAAAATCACCATCTCTTTCCTCTTCAGAGCTAATGAATACCCTTGAAAAGGAATATACAAAAATTCTAGGGGTGTCAATTCCTTAAGACTGGGGTGTTTCTTCTTTTAAAAAATTTTTTTTATTGCTTTAGAGAGAGATGAAGGAAGGAAAAACTTCAATTTGTTGCTTCTTGTATGTGCCCTGACCTTGGCATGTTGGGACAATGCTCTAACCAACTTAACTACCCAACTAGAGCTATTTATTCTTACGTATTAGGGTGCCTTGGTTATAGTGAGACGTTTCACCACCAGATTCTGACCTCCTACTGAAAGGTGCTAAACCTGTCAACTATATAAATTAACAAACCACAAGCTAAAAGAATTCCTCCATCTGCGATGAGCTGAAGAGAAGCAATTTAGGTTTAATGGTACTACTAGAGGCCCACTGCACAAAATTCATGCACGGATAGGGGGCCTGCCGGCTGCTGGCCGGGCCTCCCTTCCCCGGCTGCCAGCTGACAGCCAGGGCCTTCCTTCATTCCACACTGCCCCTGGTGGTCAGCGCACATCATAGCGAGCAATCAAACTCCTGGTCCGTGGAACTCCCCAGGGGACACTTTGCATATTAGGCTTTTATATATATATAGATGGAAGCCTGGCAGAAATGTCACATTAGAATGAAGAAAATAGGACCTGGAAAATGTTCCTTTGATAAGCAACACTTGAACCCAAAGATGCCTAAATGCCATTTTGATGTTCATTTTCGTAAGAAGGACATATATGACCTATTCTACACTATGTATGTGGGAAAAGGTGGGTATAATTTTTCTTACAACAAAATAGAGCTATTTGGTCACTGCACATGTGCACCAAAATCCCTTTGTTAAAAACCTTTCCTTAAATGTCACCCTTGAAGGATGGTGGTAATAGAAAATAGATTTGGCACATCTTTCCTTAGTTTTTGGTTTTTTTCCCTCCTTTTTTAGCGAGAGGAAGAGAGAGAGACATCAATTTGTTGTTCCACTTATTTATGTATTCATTGGTTGAGTCTTGTATGTGCCCTGACTGGGGATCAAACCTGCAACCTTTGCATATGGGGACAACTCTCTAACCAACTGAGCTACTCCAGCCAAGGATTTATTCTCTTTTGATCAGATTCAAAACTTACAGCACAAACCAGATCAGAGTAACTTTGAGTTAGAAATTATTGCCACGTATTCCTTTTTATGAGTTTCTACTAATTATACTTATTTTTTTATTAATTGGTCTAGATCCAAAACATGGGTTTATCCTGAGTACATTTTCAAATAACTTTGTAATAGGGAAAGGTTTTGTGCATGTTCTTAGAAATACTTGTGTATGTACAAAAGGGAGGGGCTGATTATTTTTCTACAAAGTAATTTATGACTTCTAATTTTCTAATGTGCCTTGGGTATGTGCCAAATGATGGAAAAGAAACAGTAAACTTTATGATTCTTGAACGTGTCATGGTGTACTTTCTTTAATGTTTTGCTGTGGAGATAGTTTCTAAGCCTCTGCTATAACCATGTGCTCTGTGTGTGGTAAAATCTCCCCCCATTTTGATGGATGTACACTTTATTTTTCAGTTACAGATGTGACTGTGACTGAAACATAAACTGCATCTTTCAGAGATCACTACCCATCTACCTGGACTAGGGCTGGCAACATATGATATAGTGCCTAACGCCCACAAAAACGTTTTCTTTTAAAATCAGAACAAAAATGAATATATTACAGCTTCTTAGCCTACACAGGAAATGAGTACTGTTGCTTTGCTAATTTGATTCATTTTTCATCCTTTTGAACAAAACAACCCATTGACTTAGTTTGCCATTAGGACAGTGGTTATTCTGCAAGGGAAACCATGTAACAAGTCTCTCTCCAGCATTTTTATGTAAATGAGAACTAAAGCAAAATGAACCTGTAATTGGTTTGTGTTGTTTTTTCAAAATCCTTGATGAAAATTTTCTTTTGACTATTTAATTCTGTTCCTTTAAAAAAATCTTGATGTTCTTAATGGTTCTACTCATTCATTTGTTCATTCAGGGAATACTAGACACTTTATTCCAACACTGACTTTCTCCATTGACTATACAGTTACAAATTTCTAGTCTCTAATAGAGTAAACCTCAAATGTAGTTTAAACATACAGCAGCAGTATGCTAGCTAAAACAGAAATTGAACTGTAAACCACATTTCCTATCACTTTTCTGCTTCTAATTCTGTTCATCTCATTAAATAACTTCCTCCTGGGCTGGGTCTCACAGAACTAAGATATCTAAAAGGTTATACCAAACAGCTCATTTTAAATTTATGACTTAAATTTATGAGCAAAGTTTTCATAACCTAGTGGAGCCCCTCGAGTGTGGCTCTTCTACAAAATACCACATGCGGACGCGCACGTACAGTGCGATTGAAACTTCATGGCCACGTTCAAGTGGCCAAAGAGCCGCATGTGGCTCGCGAACCGCAGTTTGCCGACCACTGACCTAGTGGGAGTGAAGCATGATATAAGAGATGATATTTGCTTTAAGTTACCTGCAGTTTTATCAGTGAAGAACCCAGAACATTTTTACCAAAAGGTAACTATTTTCATTTTATATTTTTTTTAAAAAATGTTCTTTCTTTTACATATATATATATATATATACACACACACACACACACACATATATATATATTATTATTATTATTATTATTAATTTCAGAGAAGAAGGGAGAGGGAGATAGAAACATTAATGAGAGAGAGAATCATTGATTGGCTGCCTCTTGTACAACCCCCACTGGGGATCAAGTGCGTAATCTGGTCATGTGCCCTTAACTGGAATCAAACCTGGGACCCTTCAGTCTGCAGGCCGACACTATCCACTGAGCCAAACCAGCTAGGGCAAAAGGTAACTTTTTAAACTGTCTCAATTCGATTTTAATCATTAGAAGTTATTTCTCTTACTTACAGACATGTTTATTATTGTTGAAGTATTATTACCAGTATTTCCTAGTTATTTTAGGAATTCTTTTCAATGGAAGTATCACTCTAGCTATGGAGGTTTTTTGGATAAGGGTAATATTAGATAATTTAATATACCTCGATGCCTTTGAAAAGCAGTTATAAATGAAACCAAAGCTAGGAATAGTCTTACATTAAATGTAAGTACTATTTTCAGGGAGAAAAATAGCTCACCTGCTTTCAGAACCTATATCTTAGAAATATTAGATATTAAAGTTGACTTAGCTTAATCCACAGGTTTTAACTCCCATGACATTACTGGATGCTATTTTGTTCTTATTGAAGCCTACTCGAGCAGCTTCTATTTCTGCTATGGCCATTTTCTTCCCTAACACTAATGTCACAATTACAAAGGATATATTCATGCTGCTACACATTTAAAAGTTTTTGGTAGGAAAGGGAAAAATGCAAAATGCAGATCTTCTGTTGATTCAGCCACAGTACTAAAATGACTTTGCCCAAATTGTTTTATTTTACACAAGTTTATTTTTCTAAAGGTATATAAACAATAAACAAAGTGAACATTCAATCAGATCTTAACTGCCAAGTATTATCTGTCCTGGAATTGTTCCATTAAGTTCCAGTCTATGCATCTTAAATTCAATAATCGTCATCTTCATCAGAGTCCATTACTTTTCTTCTGTTGAACTGGGGGGAGGGAGATTAAGCAAGTGTTATTATCTGTTTAATAAAGCACAACTCAGATTTTCTGAGAAGAAATATCTCTACCTACTACAGCAAGACATTTTTGTCTATCTTTAGAACAACTTAAAAGAGTTTTAGATATAAGGGGAGGGGGAACAATGAAACAAGAGCCTTAAAAATTAGACCCCTCAATATATGCAAGCCCTGCTCCCCAAACTTCCATGTGTTACAAAATGGAAATGTCTATGGGCTGAAACATATTTTGATACAGTAGGTGTATAGTCGACACATTTAAAATACCAATCTTTCTCTTCTGCCATATGCATTTGGGGAAACTTACTTTAACTGTGGTTTTCTTTTCTGTTTGTTGGCTTACTTTTTCAAGGATTTCTATTAAACCTTGTTCTGTTACCTAGGATAACCAGAAAGAAAAACAGTACTTTTTGTAAACAAAGAATTGACCTCAGGAGATTGAATCATTTTAGTCTTTCTGGGGTGTGGAGGTAGAGGTCAAGAGGGAAGAGAGGTGGGACAAGAGGTTGCAACTACCAGTTATAACTATAGGAAGACCTCGTTTTATTGTGCCTCCCATTATTGCACTTCACAGAACATGTTGCATATTTTACAAAATGAAGGCAAGACCCTCCAGCAAAAAGATTATGACTAGCTTTATTGCAGTAGCCTGGAACCGACCTTGAAATATCTCCGAGGTATACCTGTATTAGTTTTTGTATTAGAATTTGCTCTGCTAGGCATTTGAGGAGGGGGGAAAGTATCCATCAATTAACATCCTCAGAAAAATCCAATTTGCCCTAGCTCGTTTGGCTCAGTGGATAGAGCGTTGGCCTGTGAACTCAAGGGTCCTGGGTTCAATTCCAGTCAAGGGCACATGCCCAGGTTGTGGGCTTGATCCCTAGTAGGGGGTGTGCAGGAGGCAGCCGATCAATGATTCATTCTCATCATTGGTGTTTCTCTCTCCCCCTCTCCCTTCCTCTCTGATATCAATAAAAATATATTTTAATAAAAAAAAGAAAGAAAAATCCAAAGTAAACAGGTATTTAAGAACACCTTTATCACCCTAGCTTGTTTAGCTCAGTGGATAGAGCCGTCAGCCTGCAGACTGAAGGGTCCCAGTTCAATTCCTGTCAAGGGCACATGCCTGGGTGGCGTGCTTGATCCCCAGTAGGGAGCGTGCAAGAGGCAGCCAATCAATGATTCATTCTCATCATTGATGTTTCTCTCCCCGCCTCTCCCTTCCTCTCTGAAATCAATAAAAATATATATTTTTTAAAAAGAACACCTTTTTGCCGAAACCGGTTTGGCTCAGTGGATAGAGCGTCGGCCTGCGGACTGAAAGGTCCCAGGTTCGATTCCGGTCAAGGGCATGTACCTGGGTTGCGGGCACATTCCCGGTGGGGGATGTGCAGGAGGCGGCTGGTCGATGTTTCTCTCTCATCGATGTTTCTGACTCTCTATCTCTCTCTCTCTTCCTCTCTGTAAAAAAATCAATAAAAATATATTTAAAAAAAAAAAAAAAAAAAAAAGAACACCTTTATCACCACTAGCAGACATAAACAGCCACCTACAACCCTCTATTGTGTCAATGAAAGAGACACACTGACTCTGCTCTTGAGACCCTGAGAAGCTTAAATGCAGCAGATAAGTCATTCAAAAAGGATGAACCAGTCATTGTCTCTTCCACACACCTTTCTCAGAGTAACGGGTTCAGGGTAGGACTGATCCGTGCAGGCTGTGGTGGCAACAGAGGGCTTCCCAGTGCACACGGGGTGCATCTGCATCCTGAAGGACAGTCTTGCAACACACATAATAACCAGAATTTTAGCACCTCCTCAATTTGCAAAACAAGTTTAATGTCTACCTATACTAGTAGTGTATCAGTTTTTCTTTTTTAAATTGATATGAGAGAAGAAGAGAGAGAAACATCGATTTTGTTGTTCCACTTATTTATGCATTCCTGTTGATTCTCATATTTGCCTTGTCCTGGAATTGAACCTGTGGGAATCAAACTGGCATCCTTGGCATATAGGGACAATGTTCCAAACAACTGACCTACCTGACTTAATTTGTATTATTGAGAAACCTTGTTTCCAGAATAGAAGCAATTTAAGCCAGCTAACCCTGATAGTCATTGGGTCACACAGACACCAACAAGGTTCCACAACAATGTCAGGAAAGAAAAGAAGCAGAGGATCTTAGGAAACACCAATGATGAGAATGAATCATTGATCGGCTGCCTCCTGCACACCCCCTACTAGGGATCAGGCCCACAATTAGGATATCTTTTAGGATTGATGGTAGATCCAACTATTCTCACCTTTAAAAATTCCTTCTTTGAGGCCTGGCCAATGTGGCTCTCTCAGTTGGTCAGGGCATCCTCCTATGCACCAAGAGGACTCAGGATTCCCAGTCAGAGCACATGCCTAGGTTGCCGGTCCAATCCCCAGTCTGGGTATGTATGGAAAGCAACCGGTTGATGATGTGTGTGTGTGTCTGTCTCTCTCTCTCTTTCTCTCTCTCTCAAAACTGATGAAAAATGTCCTCTCCTTGAAATAGTCAACAAGCCCTGGCTGGGTGACTCAGTTGGTTGAGTGTTGTCCCATACATCGAAAAGGTCACCTGTTGGATTCCATGTCAGGGCACATACCCAAGTTGGGGGTTTGATCCCCAGTCAGAGTGCTTATGGAATGCAACCAATCAATGTATCTTTCTCACATCATTTTTTTTCTCTAAAGAAATCAATAAACACATATTTTTTAAAAAAAGAGCCTTGGCCGATGTGGCTCGGTTGAGTGTCATCCATGCACCGAAAGGTATGATTCTATTTCTCTCTCACACTGATCTCTCTCTCTGTCTCCCTCCCTCCTCCTTCCTCTCTCTAAAAGTCAATAAAATCGTATTTAAACATAAATAGAAAATAGTCAACAAGATTTCTGTAACCAGAAGATGAAACTGGCCTTTTTAAAACTGATTTTTAGAGGGGGGGAAGAGGAGATGAGAGAGGAAGAGAGAGAGAGAGAAACATCGATTTGTTGTTCCACTTATTATACAGTCAATGGTTGATTCTTGTATGTACCCTGACCAGGGATTGAACCCACAACCTTGACATATCAGGATGGTGCTCTAACCAACTGAGCTACCTGACCACAGCGAAATTCACCTTTTGAAGACATGTTTGGATAAAGGAGACAACAACAGGTAAAACTACCTCAAGACAGTCCTAAGCTTACCTTCCCATTTAGTTGTCCATATCTTGCCATCTGTATAAGGTAATTCTCTACTCCTTTAGTTTTTTCGGGTTTTACAAGTGCTAAGTTACTTACTAAAAAGAAAAAAAACACAAAAAAAGTCAAGACTAAATGCACTTATATTGTAACAAAAATAAACACCAACATTTCCAAAGCACTTCACAGACTTATTTATGTCTTGAAATTAGCAAGGTAGGGGTGGCAGGAGGTATTGTTACCCTCTTAAAAATGAGGAAACTAAAGTTCAGCCATGTCAAGGCCACACAGAAGTAGTGGCAGAGCCAAGATTAAATTTGGGTTCTCAGAGAATAAGCCCATGCTTTTTTTTTTTTTGCCTTTTTTTTTTTTTTAATTTTTCTTAAGCCCCATGCTTTTTAAAAATATGTATGATTGCACTCTGGAAAATGTGTTACATATTACTACAGATATAATCAGTATCTATATAAGACTGCCTATTCTAAGCTAGGCTTCAAGAAGATACTAGTTCACTCCAATTGGTTCATTTGTTCTACATGGTTTTCTCTTCGGTTTTTAAATATGAAAAATTATTAACTAAAATGGAGAATACAATAAATCTCTCAAACCATAGAAGGATAAATGGCGATGGAAAAAATAAAATTAAATTTTTTTTTAAATAAAGTTTTCTTTTTTGTTTTAATATATTTTTATTGATTTCAGAGAGGAAGGGGGGGAGACCCGGGAGAGAGAGACAGAAACATCAATGATGAGAATCATTGATTGGCTGCCTCCTACATGCCCCACATTGAGGATGGAGCCTGAAAACCGGGTGTGTGCCCTGACTGGGAATTGAACTGTGACCTCCTGGTTCATAGGTCCATGCTCAACCAGCCATGCCAGCCAGGCAAAATTAACTTGAAAAAAGAACTAAGCCTGGCCAGTGTGGTTCAGAGGTTGAGCGTCAACCCATGAACCAAGATCTGAACCCAGAGGTCACTGGTTCTACTCCCGGTCAGAGCACATGCCCACGTTGTGGGGCTCCATCCCCAGGAGGCGCGCTGGAGGCAGCTGATTAATGTTTCAATCTCTCTATCCCTCTCCCTCTAAAATCAATAAAAACATATTTGTTTAAAAAAGAACTCCAGCCCTAACCGGTTTGGCTCAGTGGATAGAGTGTCAGCCTGCGGACTCAAGGGTCCCAAGTTCGATTCCGGTCAAGGGCATGTACCTTGGTTGCGGGCACAGCCCCGGTAGGGAGTGTGCAGGAGGCAGCTATCAATGTTTCTAACTCTCTATCCCTTTCTCCCTTCCTCTCTGTAAAAAAATCAATAAAATATATTTTAAAAAAAGAAGAACTCCAAAAATAAATAAATAAATAAGCCCCTCAATATCCTATCACATATGTCAACTATCAGCAACACTTTGTAATTGACTTAAGACTTGTTGTCTATATATTTTACCTAATAAGCACTTGGGAAATTATCTCCTTGATAGGAGAGAACCACGCAGGTACATTTAATAATTTAAGTCCATTTCTTTAGGTTTACAAACTGCACATTTCTTACAAATATCGGTATTTTAAGTGTTTATAGGTTAAATATTTAATCTACAGATAGCAATAATTTCATATCTTCCCATTCAACTAACCCAAGCCAATTTTATGAAATAACTTAAAAGAAACTGAAGATGCTTACACCGGGCCCGGGCTGACTGATCCAGAACTTGGGCTAAGATACTGTTTCTCATTTCTGCTTCTCTATAACAAAAAAAAAGTCAAGCAAAATTAAAACTACGCTGTCAGCATTCCTATTGAACAGACGAAAATGTAACTCACTTAATACATTTCCCAAGGTGGAAGGGGACTGCATGCATAGATTGCACTATAGTAGGTGCTGTATGGATGGTAACAGCTATTATTACTGAAGAATCCACTCTTGCCTTCAAAAGCCAGCTTTATATTGTGGGTGTAAACCTACCAAATTGAAAGATAAAACCTTACATTTTCATAATTCATGGTGGAGTTTCAGTTCAACCACCATGACCAACATGTATTATGTATTTAGTGTGAGAGAAGTGCTAGAAATCTGTAGTGAGATTTCCAACAATTAAAGGACCAAATGATTAATCCGTGTAATTATCTTAACGGATGAAGAAGCTGACACCCCCTTGCCAGTGTGGTTCAGTGACTGAGCATTGACCAATGAAGCAGGAGTTCAAGGTTCAATTTCCGGTCAGGGCACATGCAGAAGGCAGCCAATCAATGATCCTCTTATCACTGATGTTTCTACCTCTCTCTTTCTCCCTCTCTCTGAAATCAACAAAAACATTAAAAAAGAACAATTAAAAAAAAAAAAAAAAGCTGAGATATCTAGGGAAGCTACAAGTAGATGTGGCCAAGCTAGAACCAACTCCCATATTTCAAGACTCTCAGTTATACGTGTTTGGGTGAGGAGGGAGAGTGAAATTATAACTCCGCAACTATCCTTACACTCCTACTTATACAAGTAGAAACTAGTTCATGTTCATAGGACAGTGGTTTCAAACTTTAGGTAGCAGCAAATTTTTTTAAATGAGTCCTTCAAGGAACTTAATACTCAACGCAGACAAAAGCAGAAATTCTTTAATTGAACTGAGGGGGAGCTGGGGCTGGCTGTGCCACTACCTGCCCCATCGGAGGAGCCCTCGGGTTCATGAACACAACTTGAAGCCCACTTCCGTGGGGCATTTCCTTATTGCACCTGAGTACTTCAATTCAACCCTGCAGTAAACTACTGTTACTATATTTCACTGAATCTAAGATACCACTGATTGTAAGATGGACCATAGTGTTATGTACTTGTAAGAACAAAAAAACACCCTAGATGAAGAGTCTAATAGGAAACTCCACACTCGAAGCTCGGGCACCAAAGAGCAACAACCACATACAAGGTAAACAAGAAATAAGCCTGCCATGCAGAAAGGGACTGCAAGTAAGGATGCATGCATCAAACTTGACCATGAGTGAAGAAAAAAATTCCTTTGAGAATTTGAACGTCAAGCTTTAGTCATGCAAGTTTGCTGTCTGAATTCACATTATCAAGGTGGAGGGAGGGAGTGAGAACCCTAAGCACAGAATTTTAAGATGTCTCAGATCAGAAATATACCCAAGTGGTAGCAGAAGCAAAAGTAAATCCTCTGGAAGAATCCAGGACAATAGTGATCGATTATGAAAATCACCCCAATTCCAGATATGTTAAAATGTGAAAAAAGGTCCATCTTATAATCAATGGAATTCACAGTTTCATTTTCTTCTTAGCACTACCCCAGGTGCTTACCAACTCTCTTCCCACTAAAATAAGCCATGTATGGGCAGGAACCTTCTCTGCCTTGCCTGTTTCCAAAGACCCACCATAGTGCCTGACCTAGAACAGGTGCTCAATAAATATTTGCTGAATGAGTTAAAAGGTGGCATGAGGGAGGGAGGGGGAAATGGGGAGTTGTTCAATAAGTATAGAGTTTCAGTTTTGCAAGATGAAAATGTTCTAGAGATCTGCTGCACACTATGAGAATATAACATTATTCTCATACACTTACAAATGGTTATTATGGTAAATTTTATCTTGTGTTCTTTCATCACAGTTAGAAAAAAGGTAGCATGATGGGATAACTAACCATTCAATAAACATGCCGGGCGCTGGGATAAAATTAACAGTTAATATTTATCTAGCATTTACTAAATGCAAGGTACTGGACCTCTGTAACCCTCACAACATCCCCATGACATAGTCCTAGTATTATACTCATTTTATGGAGATCACACTTTAGCAGAGAAACAAACATCAACCAGTAATTGTATTAATGAGGTAGTAAGTGCTGTGAGATTCTAGACATTTAAACTCTCAAATTAATAACAAATACCCCGATGGTTTATGAAAAATCACTATTCCAGGAGAAACTTAGATTAAAACACTATTAAAAAAAACTAAAGTAAAAAAGCATATGGCGAAACCACCCTTCAGACCGCCAGCCCATACCTGTGCTTTGCTTCCTGTTGTGCTGCATCGCCAGGATCCTGAAAATACAATTTTATCTTTTAGTTGAGTAACTGCACAGAGGAAAAATACAAATTATTCTGTCCTGTTTCTGATAACTAATAGGCTCCTGCAGAGGTAGCAATCAACTTATTGCCAAATAATTAAAAGCTGGGCCTCCAAGAAGTCAGTGGGATAGCTTCCACTTACGAAGCCCTAGCCGGTTTGGCCCTGTGAACAGAGCATCGGCTAGGGACCCAGGGTCCCTGGTTGGATTCCGGTCAAGGGCACCTAATCGGTTGCAGGAGGCAACCAATCGATGTGTTTCTCTCACATCCATGTTTCTCTCTCTTTCCCTCTCCCTAAAAATCAGTGCAAAAAATATCCTTGGGTGGGAGAAACCAAGATGGCGGCATAGGTAAACACCGGAAATTGCTGCCTCCCACAACAACTTCAAAAATACAACGAAAAGACAAAATGGACATCATCCAGAACTACAGGAAGGCTGGCTGAGTGGAAATTCTACAACTAGAAGGAAAGAGAAAAGCACACTGAGACTCAGAGGAGCTGCAAAAGTAAAATGTAGAGGCTCTAGCGCGCGGAAAGGGGCTGGCACCCGAGGACGCAGCTGTCTTTTTGAATCGGGAGGGAGTCACAAGCTCCCGACTCCTCTGAACTCCAGTTCCGGGAAGTCTCTGGGGACCCAGACTCATATGGGGAGAAACTGGACTGTCTGGCAGCCTGGCAGCGGGCAAAACTCAGAACTTGAGGGCGGCTTTCTCTCAGAGGTGCTTGCAGCAATTACCGGGACACTGAGACGCGGGGCCCCTTAGGGCAGGGCTGAGGATCAGCCATAGCTGCTTGCTCCACCCTGTGGATTCCCTGAGACCCCGCCCCACCCAGGCTTCGGCAGAGGCTTTTGCATACGAATGCCCTGGCCCTTTGCAATCTGAAAATTACCTAACAAACTGCAGCTGGGTCAGAGAGACCCAGAACTTCCAAGAGAAGGCCCAAGGCCCCACAGCAGCTTGCATTGCTTCACAGCTGGGACTCATCTGGGCACCTCCAAACCCCCCAAAAAAGGAAGGGGAATCTGCAGATCGCTTCGTAGCTCCTGCTGGGTAGCCTCAGGCAGAGGCTAAATTAGCACCTCCTTAGATCCAAGAGCCAGTGTACCCAGTGATCAGAGTGGGACCATCCAATTACAACTCCTCAGATCCATAAGGGACACACTCAGGGGGCAGACTCAGTGGGCACCAAAGCCTCACTGAAGCAAGTCTTGCCCCAGAAGGGTGTCTTCAGCACAGAAGTTCTCCCACTGTAGACACAGCTGATTCTCACAGCCAACTGGCCTGGAGGTCAATTCCTCCCAGTGATACCTACAACAATCAAGGCTTAACTACAACAAGACTGTGCACAAAGCCCACAAAGGGGTGCACCAAGAGTGTCCACCCCAGGTAATTGGGGAGGCTGAGCCACTGGGCCCCACAGGACACCTAGCACACAAAGCCACTCTACCAAAACAGGAAAGCATAAAAAATGCAGAGACAAAGAAACAGGTCACAAATGACAGAAATGGAGGAAAGCAAACTACTGGATATAGAGTTCAAAACCAAACTTATAAGGTTTTTCAAGAATTTTCTAGAAACCGCCAATAAATTTAGTGAGACCCTGGAGGATATGAAAAAAGACCAACTAGAAATTAAGCATACACTGACTGAAATAAAGAATAATATACAGCCGAAGCCAGTTTGGCTCAGTGGATGGAGCGTCGGCCTGCGGACTGAGGGGTCCCAGGTCCGATTCCGGTCAAGGGCATGGACCTTGGTTGCGGGCACATTCCCGGTGGGAGATGTGCAGGAGGCAGCTGATCGATGTTTCTAACTCTCTATCTCTCTCCCTTCCTCTCTGTAAAAAATCAATAAAATATATTTAAAATTAAAAAAAAAATTTAAAAAAAAAGAATAATATACAGTGATCCAACAACAGACAAGAGGATCCCAAGAATCAAGTCAAAGATTTGAAATACGAAGAAGCAAAAAATACCCAAACAGAAAAGCAAAAAGAAAAAAGAATCCAAAAATATGAAGATAGTGTAAGGAGCCTCTGGGACAGCTTCAAGCGTACCAACATCAGAATTATAGGGGTGCCAGAAGAAGAGAGAGAGCAAGATATTGAAAACCTATTTGAAGAAATAATGACAGAAAACTTCCCCTACCTGGTGAAAGAAATAGACTTACAAGTCCAGGAAGCACAGAGAACCCCAAACAAATGGAATCCAAAGAGGACCACACCATGACACATCATAATTAAAATGCCAAGAGCAAAAGACAAAGAAAGAATCTTAAAAGCAGCAAGAGAAAGACAGTCAGTTACCTACAAGGGAGTACCCATAGGACTGTCAGCTGATTTCTCAACAGAAACTTTGCAGGCCAGAAGGGAGTGGCAAGAAATAGTCAAAGTGATGAATACCAAGAACCTACAACCAAGATTACTTTATCCAGCAAAGCTATCATTCAGAATTGAAGGTCAGATAAAGAGCTTCACAGATAAGAAAAAGCTAAAGGAGTTCATCACCACCAAACCAGTATTATATGAAATGCTGAAAAGTATCCTTTAAGAGGAGGAAGAAGAAAAAGGTAAAGATAAAAATTATGAACAGCAAATACATATCTATCAACAAGTGAATCTAATAATCAAGTGAATAAAAAATCTGATGAACAGAGTAAACTGGTGAATATAATAGAACCAGGGGCATAGAAAGGGAGTGGACTGACAATTCTTGGGGGGGGGGGGGGGGAGGGATGTGGGGGATGCAGGAAGAGACTGGACAAAAATTGTACACCTATGGATGAGGACAGTGGGAGGGGTAAGGGCAGAGGGTGGGGTGGGAACTGGGTGGAGGAGAGCTATGGAGGGAAAAAAAGAGGGACAACTGTAATAATCTGAACAATAAAGATTTAATTTAAAATATATATATATATCCTCGGGTGACGATTAACAAAAAAAAGGTTGCAAGTTCAATTCGAGTCAAGGGCACATAACCTAGGTTGCAGGTTTGATCCCAGGTCGGAGCCAAACATCGATGTTTTTCTCTCCCCAGCCCCTTCCTCTCGCTCTAAAATCAATAAAAGCATGTCCTCGGGTGAGGTTTAAAAGAAAAAAAAGAATCAAGCAATGCACAAATAAGTGGAACAACAAAGTTGATGCTTCTCCCTCTAAAATCAATAAAAAAATATCAAATTTTAAAAATCAATGTTTTGGCCGAAACCGGTTTGGCTCAGTGGATAGAGCGTCGGCCTGCGGACTGAGAGGTCCCAGGTTCGATTCAGGTCAAGGGCATGTACCTGGGTTGCGGGCATATCCCCAGTAGGAGATGTGCAGGAGGCAGCTGATCGATGATTCTCTCTCATCGATGTTTCTAACTATCTCTCTCCCTTCCTCTCTGTAAAAAATCAATAAAATATATTTTAAAAAAAAATCAATGTTTTGATAAGCTTCTAAAGTCACAATCTAATAGAATGTTTTAGAATACAAACAACCATTAGGAAGGGGAGTCCCTGTACAAAGGAACCGCATTTTATGGGTAAGAATAATTGGGGGGGGGAGTGGCGCTGAGGATTCCAAGGGCACCTCCTGGGAGACCATCGCGTTCCAGCCCGTACCCAGCCTGCTCCCTCTCCTTCCTGCAGCCTTTACTGGAGAATATTATCTAAGGGATGAGTGCCCAGAGCCTGGCTCCTCCCCGAGACCGTCACTCCGTCACAGGAGATGGGATGCTCCCCGCTGTCCCCTCAGCACCGGGCACACCGGACCCGCAACAAATGCGGGTCGGTTGCTGGGGTCAGAATTCCTGGGAACAATCCCGCTGGAAACAGCAGCGGAAACAGGCCAGACCCCGCGGCTAAGGAGCGGAGACCCGAGGAGCCGGACATTCTCTTCGGGCCGACGCCGGCCCGGCCAGGCCTTGGAGGCGAGCCCAACCCGGCCCGAGAGAGGCCCGACCAGACCCACCCGGGAGAGCACGTGGCCGGCCGGCCGCCGGAAACCCCCGCGACAGGGAGAGGCCCGGGACGGCCTCGGGGCAGCCGCGGGTTCTCCGCCAGCGGGCCGAGCACCGGCCGAGGCGCCGAGAGCCGCCGCGCCCTCCACCTCGGACGAGGGCGGCGCCCCGCGGGAAAACGGGCCGAACGGGCGGCGGGCGCGCTCACCCCGTGCTTGGCCTGCAGCTCCGCCAGCCTCTGCTTCCGCAGAGCCTCCAGCTCCTCCTCCGCCATGGTGCGGCCGACGGGGCAGAGCAGCCAAGAACCCCGCTCCGGCCCACTCGGCGTTACTCCCTCAGCGGCGAGGCGAACGCGGCCCTACCCACTGCGCAGGCGCCCGCGACTCCCAGGCCTCACCAATCCAGCCCGGAGCCGCGCCGCCCGACGCAGCCAGGGCGCCTGGAGAGGCCCGATTTCGCGATCGCAGGGGGTCGGCGTGGGGCGGGGCAGTGGACAGAACCCTAGCGGCCCCACCGCCCCTCCCGGATGACGCTAAGCACTCGCGGGCGGGCTTGGCTGCGAGTGAGATAAATAGCAATCTAAACACAGCCAGTGAAACAACAGGCAAAATTTGTTTGTGGCCTATTGCGTGCTAAGTGCAAGGGTTAAAGAGAATAAAACGGGGCAGAGAAAGACTTACTGTGCTTTGCAGATACCTTGCAGAAAGCTTGCAGCCTTAAGCACAGCATAGCTCAGATAACCAGAAGACACCTGGCCTGGGAGAAACCAAGGACAGACCAGACCCTTACTTCAGCAGAGCGGCTTGCAGCCAGCCAAAGTTAATAAAAACCTATCTCTCCCTCCTCTCTTCGCTGATGCTTTTCTCTTTTCTCGGTCTCAGCCCACCTGCACGCATGTGGTCGGAATAAAATCATTCTTTGATACATTATGGCCTCGTGACATAGGTGCGCAACCCCAGCCCACTCCAAACCTTTCACTCTGCTCGTGTTATCTCCATTTATAGATGAAGATCCCGGGCCTTGGAAAGGCTAAGTTGGGTGGTGAAATGTTCTAAAACTGGACTGTGGTGAGGGTTGCACAACTCTTACATTTGCTAAAAGACATTAAATTGTACACTTAAAGGGCGCCAAAGGCGTAGATAGAAAAGACTCACTGGTCACCCCGCCATTAAGAAGCCAAGTTAAAGCAAACTTGGAGGGTGAGGCTTGGAAACATAGGCCTCCCCTCCCAGGCTGGCGTGGGGGACTGTGGAGTGTGATATAAACTTCAGGACACCCACTTCCCACCCCCCCAGGGCCTGTCCGAGGCTGTGGGGTGGGCAGCTGGGGCTGAGTGAACTCCATTGCGGAGGGTTGAGGAGGAGGTTGCATCTTTGAAGTGGGGATATTGGTGTGTGTGGAGTAACCTATTACTCATGTAGGTTATACACCTGTTTTTTCATTATGGCAAAAATATATAAAATATACCTTTTAAACTATTTTTAATGTACAGTTCAGTAGTGTTAAGTACATTTACAGAAACTCTTTTCATCTAGTAAAACTGAAACTCTATACCAGGGGTGGGCAACCCCTGGCACGCATGCCAAACATGGCACGCCAGTAACTTTTACTGGCACGCGAAACTCTCTCTTATAATCTTCCATTTACAATTTTTTTCTTAATATCAACTTTTTATTTTTCAGATAAATTCAGTGTAGGTGCATCTTAGATAAATAAATAATTTTACATAACAAGTTATCTTAAAGACCATAGACATGGACTGACAAGAGAGGGGAAGAGCAATTTCAATAGTGTTGTAAACAAACTATTGAGGACTTGGAATGCCATTCCAGAAAATTTTTTCTGTTTAAAAAACTTTGCAACAGCATTACTCTCCATGTTTTCATCCACATGCGCTTTTGAATCTTTGTTCTCAGTGATGAATTTTGTTAAGTCTTGTAATAGGAGTAGCCTGACAGATGAAAGTAGTAGCTCGTGCATATCTCTGAAGGTCATGAAACATAAACCTGATGTAAAATCTCTGTCATCAGTGATGCAGCAGCAAAAGTCCCACTGATAATATCAAACGGAGTCATAAAGTTTTCTGTGGGACTATCAGTGTACATGTATACATTAAAAAATAAATGTATTGCCCTAACTGGTTTGGCTCAGTGGATAGAGCATCGGCCTGCGGACTGAAAGGTCCCAGGTTCAATTCCAGTCAAGGGCATGTACCTTGGTTGCAGCACATCCCCAGTGGGAGATGTGCAGGAGGCAGCTGATCGATGTTTCTCTCTCATCGATGTTTCTAACTCTCTATCCCTCTCCCTTCCTCTCTGCAAAAAATCAATAAAATATATTTTTAAAATGTATTTTTCATCATCATATACTGTGTTTTTGTTGCTCGAATGAATTTTATTATTTCTTCAAGGTTCTTCACATACGTACACCTTAAGAGATATCAAGTAGGCGTAACATGTTCTCAAAAACTTAGCGTTGGCACGCAGAATTTTGAGTCAGAGATTTTGCTGGTTTTGACACACACTCCCAAAAAGGTTGCCCACCCCTGATCTATACCCATTAAATAACTCCCCAAGCTCCTTTCCCCCAACCTTTAATAACCATCATTTTGTTCTCTGACCCTTATGATTTTGGCTAACTACTTTACATGAATGGAATCATAGAATATTTGTCCTTTTGTGATTGGCTTATTTCACTTAGCATGCTGTCCTTAAAACCAGTTCATGGTGTACCATGTGTTGGAATGTTCTTCCTATTTAAAGCCAGAAAGTATTTCATTGTATGTATACTAGAGGCCTGGTACACAAGATTTGTGCACTGGGGGTGGGAGGGGGTCCCCTCAGCCCGGCCTGCACCCTCTTACAGTCCTGGAGCCCTTGGGGGATGTCTGACAGCCCCCTACTCCCCGCAGGGAGCTGGCCTAAACTGTCAGTCACACATCCTTAGCACTGCTCCTTAGCACTGCTGTAGAGGCGGGAGAGGCTCCAGCTACTGCTGCTGCCCGCACCAACCTGAGCCCTGCTTCTGGGCTTCTGGCTGAGCAGTGCTCCCGCTGTGGAAGCGCACTGACCACTAGGGGGCAGCTCCTGCATTAAGCGTCTGCCCTCTGGTGGTCAGTGCATGTCATAGTGACTGGTTGTCCTGCTGTTTGGTTGATTTGCATATTAGCCTTTTATTATATAGGATACATTTTGTTTATTCATTAATCCATCAATGGACACTTGGGTTATTCCCACTTTTTGGCTATTGTTAATAATGTTGTGATGAACATTATTTAGAATATTAATATCTCTTTCAATTCTTGGGGATAGAGACTTCATGCGTTTTGAATTTGACATTCTTTTTTTAAATATATTTTTATTGATTTCAGAGAGGAAGGGAGAGGGAGAGATACAAACATCAGTGATGAGAGAGAATCATTGATCAGCTGCCTCCTGTATGGCCCACACTGGGGATTGAGCCCACAACCTGGGCATGTGACCTTGACCAAAATCGAACCCAAGACCCTGAGCCAAACCAGTTAGGGCTATTTCTACCTCTTTTTATACTTTCATTGTTATTTTCTTTAGGTTCCTTCAGATGGATGTTCTATTTGTTTCTTTTTATTCCATTGTTGCTTTTTTATATTAAATATAAATTATTCTTCACTCTAATCTAGACTCATAAATGTGGTTTTTTGTTTTTTAAGAATTTTATTTTATTTTTTTAGGTATAATTGACATACATCAGTCTTAGGTGTACAATGTAATGATTCAATATTTGTATATATTGCAAAATGATTGGCACAGTAAGTCAACATCAACAGTTACAGAATTTTTTCTCTTGTGATGAGAACTTTTAAGGTTGACTCTCAGTAACTTTCAAACAAAACATTTATGATTATGATAATATACTTCCAGTTGTCTTTCACTGAAGTTAGTGTTTTCTCATATTACAGGAACCTTTGAGTAAGCCTCTATCTGATTTATGTGCAGGCCATGATTTTGGAAAGTTGATAGAATGAATGGTGATGAGTTCTGTGATGAAGCAGTGTAACATTATCCAATAAAAATATATTTAATCAGGAGAACCAAGATGGCGGCATAGGTTAACGCCGGAGTTTGCTGCCTTGAACAACTACTTCAAAAGTGAAACTAAAAAATGGAACGGAAATCACCCAGAACCACAGGAACGCTGGCTGAGTGGAAGTCCTACAACTAGGAGGAAAGAGAAACGCATACCGACACTCAGAGGAGGCGCAGTGCTGAAGTCAAATTCTGAGGTGCTGAGTGCGCCGAGCGGGCTGGCGGCGGAGGGCGCGGTTGGCGTTTTCAATCGGGAGGGAGTCGCACACTCTGAGCTCCAGATACAGCCGAGTCTTTAGGGACCCAGACTCAAACGGGAGAAGCGGGACTGTCTGGCTTCGGTCAGAGCGAGTGCAGCTTTCTCTCCGAGCTTTGCAGCGGGTGCTGGGACTCAGAGAGGCAGAGCCCCTGGGGACAGGACTGAGAGCCGCCATAACTGCTCTCTCCGGCCCACCCTGTTGATCCTGTGCGACCCGCCCCGCCCAAGCCCTGCACAGAGGCATTTGCCGGATAGCCTCAGGCAAAGGCTAGATTAGCACCTCCCTAGAGGACAGAAGTTCTCTCACTGCAGACACAGCTGATTCTCATAGCCACTTGGCCTGGAGGTCAAACCCTCCCTGGTATTAGCTACAACAATCAAGGTTTACCTATAAGACTGCGCACAAAGACCACTAGGGGGTGCACCAAGGAAGCATAACAAAATGCGGAGACAAAAAAACAGGACAAAATTGTCAATGGAAGATATAGAGTTCAGAACCACACTTTTAAGGTCTCTCAAGAACTGTTTAGAAGCCGCCGATAAACTTAATGAGATCTACAAGAAAACTAATGAGACCCTCGATGTTATATTGGGGAACCAACTAGAAATTAAGCATACACGGACTGAAATAACGAATATTATGCAGACTCCCGACAGCAGACCAGAGGAGCGCAAGAATCAAGTCAATGATTTGAAATGCGAGGAAGCAAAAAACACCCAACCGGAAAAGCAAAATGAAAAAAGAATCCAAAAATACGAAGATAGTGTAAGGAGCCTCTGGGACAGCTTCAAGCGTACCAACATCAGAATTATAGGGGTGCCAGAAGATGAGAGAGAGCAAGATATTGAAAACCTATTTGAAGAAATAATGACAGAAAACTTCCCCCACCTGGTGAAAGAAATGGACTTACAGGTCCAAGAAGCGCAGAGAACCCCAAACAAAAGAATCCAAAGAGGACCACACCAAGACACATCATAATTAAAATGCCAAGAGCAAAAGATAGAGAATCTTAAAAACAGCAAGAGAAAGAAACTCAGTTACCTACAAGGGAATACCCATAC